TCCAATTATCTAAAAGATATTCCAAGTATAATTATCACCTGAACGTCCAAACCATCCAACTCAAAGTTATTTCTCACATTATGGGCCTATGGCAACTGTCGTCATGTAACTACCAAAGCGAATTTTAAGAAATTTTGTAATTCACGTTCAAACTTATGAGCTTTATGAGTTAATTCAAGATTATTTATATTCAATCTTTCTAGACATTTATAAAGCATTATAGAAATTTGAAATAGAATAGAGGGCAGGATCTCCAGAAATTCTTTAAAAAATTCCATGAAAATGGGTAGTCGTGTTTTTCATATGATTCATTCAAGATCTTCTTGTCTCCAGTTTTAGAAACATTTCACCAGCAAGTAAAAATCAATCGGTTGGTGGATCAAACTCTATCTCCATTTGAACTGAGATTGTAAAAGGCATAGTTGATTTCCATCTGCCAGCTCTTCTCCGTAATATATTGTTTTCTTTGTTTTCTTGTCTTTTTCTTCAATGTCCCTGAGTATTCAATTTGCTATCAAAATCTCCCTCCATTTGAGCCAATTCTTCAATATTTTAATCTTAATTGCGTTTAAATTCACAGTTAAGCCATCTTGTAGTCCTGATTTGCTATTCCATTTATCTGAAATATATACCAAGTCTAATTGTCACCTGGACATCAAAACCATCCAACACAAAGTTATTTCTCATATTATTAGCCTATGCCAACTTTCGTCGTATAACTACCTAAGCAAATTTTAGGACACTATGAAATTAATGTTCATACTTATGAGCTTTATGAATTATTTCAAGATTATTTGTAATTAATCTTTCTAGACCATTATAAAGCATTGTAGAAGTTTGAAACAGAGTAGAGAGCATGATCTCCAGGAATTCCTTAACAAATATTGTCCCCTTATTCAACACTTCCAGTTTTCCAGTTTTCCAGCTTGACAAATTTTTCAGCAGCCAGTAAGAATTAATCACTTGCTGTATCAAGCTGCACCATGATTTGAACTGAAGTTGTGAAAAGCATGGTTGATCATCATTTGCAAGCTGTTTTCCAAAGTGTGTTGTTTTGCTTTGTTCACTAGTCTCTTTTTTCGAGGTCCCTGAGTACTTGGTTTTTGCTGAAAACGTTCTCAATTTGAGCCAATTATTAAATATTTTTGTAAACATAATTAATCTCATCGTAAATGATGTCAAATTGATACTTAAGCATCACGATAAGCTTAAATTTTTCTTCAATTCATCTGAATTTCATACCAAAGAAAATCATAATCTTAATGCCAAATCCATCTAACGCAAAAATATATTTCTCACACTATGAACCTATAGGAACTGTCATCAAATCATACCAATACAAATTCTAACACATTTTGAAAATTGTGTTTAATCTTGTCATATTTAAGACCCATTTAAAAAATATTAATATTTAATCTTTCTAGACAATTGTAAAGTATTGTAGAAGCTTCAAATTATCCGAAATATATACCAAAGATAATAATCACCTCAACGGCAAATCCATCCAACACAAAGTTATTACTCACACTATGATTCTATTGTAACCGTTTTTGAAAAACTCCTAAAACGATTCTAACGTATTTTGAAAATTATCCTCAATATTATCATGTATATGAATAATTTAGAATTTATTAGTACTACATTTCTCTAAACAATTATAAACCATTGTAGAATTTTCAACCAGAGTACAGAGCAGGGTCCCCAGCACTTGTTTTAACAAATCTTTGAAAACCTGTAGTGACATTAGTGACAGTGAGATTCCTGAAGTTTTGGATTGATATTATGTTTTTTCTTTTGCTTAATTTTAGATATCTTCAACCGGTAAGAATGAAGCAGTTGCGGGATCAAACTTCATTTTCATTAGAGTCGAAGTTGTAAAAAGCTTGTTTTCCGAAAGTTTTTTTTCCTGAGTTCTCAAAACATTTTTTAAACGTCGTCAATTTTTAAATACCTATGTTTAGTTATTACTATTTTGTCCTTTCTTTTGAAATCTAGTGCCATTGTAAGTATCACTTCAACGCCAAGTTTACCAATGAAATTTAGATTCTAGTCTAAGCAGCTGTTTTTTGGTGAAAATAACATAAAAATTTTTTTCAGAACATTTGATGCATTAGACCTTGGTTCAACGGATGTATATTCAACAGAATACATGATGCATTTTGAGCAAAACCTGTTTGCTCGCAAAGTAAAAGAAAACCAATCGCTCTGCTGATCTATTGCAAAGGAGCCTGCAGCATCGAATATACTTTATTTTTATTTGCATTTCTTGTCTATATTGCATTTTTCTGATGTTTGAAGCAGGCTTTGCATACATAATAGCATGAAGTCTTTTATATCCATCTTTCCAGTGATCAAAAGTTATTTGGTAAAATTTACAATTTTACAATCTGCATCAAAGGATATATCATCATCAGTAGAGAAGAATGGTGGCTCGAGGCCTCTAAACCGTTTTTGAAGGGCTTTTAGCTATGCAAGCCAATTTGCACGGTTAAACTACACAATTAATTTTTAGACGCCTTAATAGCAGATTTTCACGAGGCTCAATTCATTTTAATCTAGAATATCCACTCGAAAAGAGGAACTATTCCTATTTTCTATCATAAACCAAATGTTCTTTCTACGTTGTGCCAAAAATCATATAAAAAACCTGTAAACTAATGTTGTTTGTTGACAAACTCAGTATCTATTGTAAAACTATTATACTTTGAAGACTGAGTTTCTATATGCTTGACTTCTGTTTGAAGTGATAGCAATGTTGACCTTAAATTCATCGAATTCTAAATCACCCTTGACACATTTTATTCTTTATACTAGATTCGCGAAATTGAATATTTCCAATCGTCGTCTTGTAACATTATTCACTGCAATAAGCATTGAGACAAAAATTTCAAATTTCTTCTTCAAAATGATTTTATTTACTTTGGCACATTTTCCATTATGAATTGTTCAAAAGCTTTCAGGCTTCAGCCTTTGAAAAAACCTTTAACGTATGTCCTTGATATCGGATTTGTGCATATTATTCCAGAGAATTTGATTCTGTAAAAGTTAACAATCTGTGTTTTGTTTAGAAGTGGATGTTTCTGTAATTACGTAGGGTGACACCAAACCTAACATGTATTTAATCTGATTGAAGAGTTCTTCGATGAGTCTATGTATCTAGCTTTTCTTTTGTTTATTTATAGATCTTTCTACTTCTACGATGAGTTCGATGAGTCTATGTATCTAGCTTTTCACTTGGTTTAGTTATAGGCTCAAAACAAGGAAAGCTTGGAGACTTAACAAATTCTTCCAAAGCATATTCTACTAATTTTACTTTGCAAATTCTTAGCCTGGCAATTTTGAAAGATTGCAACTTGTCCCAAATTCAAAGAAAGGCTTTTTATTGGCAATAAAGTTAAATGCTTTTCCTCGATGATAAATATACAAATGAATAGCTCTCAATGGTCAAATGTTTTCAGAATACAAATTTTTAAACGTTTTGTGCACATTGATTGCTTGGATCAAGGTTTCTGGATCCTTCTTCAATTAATAAGACTCAATGAAAAATTTAAAAAGTAGATCTTAAAGCTACCATGCTTGTTCCTTACAACAAACAATAACTAGTTTTTAGTTGACTTACACAAATTGCAAAATTTTTTAAAATTTTTTGTCAAGACAATACAACTTTTGTAAATTTTGTCTCAATGTAAAAAAAATCAAATTGAAAAGAATTTAGAAACCAAACATGTCACGAAATCTCAAATCTAAGATAAAAGGTAAAAATTTATATAAGATACAAAATTTAGTCCAAAGAATGAAGAACTATATTTAAACAAAGTATATTTTCTACCACTTTGTATGGTGCTATGTGAATTGCTAGTAAGATTGAAATTGTGTTTTTTTCCAAACGTCCGAAAATAGTTTTTATGTGCATTTTGTTGTACCAATGCTCCTATTAGCACTTTAGCTCTCAATAAAACTCTTACGTACGTACTCGTTCGTCACCCGAGTATGTGTTAACACTCTTTAAACACTTTTGCTTGCATATTATAAAAACTATAAACAAAAAAAACAAAAAATAATTTGTAAATTGGTGTGCTGATAGCACTCTTTTTGCATAAACATTTCCAGGTAAACAGACAAATTTTGTTCTTTAGGGGGTCATGCCCCTCAAAAATGTATAGAAATCCTTTGCATCTAATAGATAATATCTTCTGTTCCCAATAACTTCAAACAATTTTGCCCTTTTATTTATGCATACATTCTCTATTTTCATAAAAGATAAAGCAGAAAGTCCCTAAATATTTCTTTTAATGACTTGTCAAAAGGAAAATAGCAAGTACTTAAGATGAGCAAAAGATATTCTATGTAATGTTCCTGATGCAATGTCCTTCTATAAGGATTTAACATTGACAATCCCTTTATGTTTCGGGAAACAATTTTTTAAAATCATAAACTACTTTATAATCTAATGGCCCTTGTATTGGAAATGAAAGAGTTTGGTTTTTAAAGCCCTCGGAAATCAGACCTGTTTCGTTAAATTCGGTAATGAAATTCTCTTATTGCTTAGCTTTGAACGTACTTGTATAACCATTTTTTTCAAAAACAAGTTTTTCTTTCTATGTCACAAAAATGTTTAAGAATAGAAACAGAGCTCTGAAAATGGCCTTCTCTACTGAACAGTGAAAATTTTGTTATAAACTGTATAGGTAGTATTTTAATTATCTTATATCTTTTTATCTCTTCCTATCCTTGGTTATCCTCCTTCCTGTCAATCATTCCTGTGGCTACCCTCCTGTTACTCTTCTTGCATCGCTACTTGTTCCTCGCATCTCTTTGCTATCATTCTCTTCTCCATTTCCTTTCCATCTTCCTTTCCTTTCCAAATCCAATATCTCCCGCCATACTCAGTACTTTCATGTCTCCTTCCATGCGCTTATTCCTTTCTTGCACTCCCATACCCTTCTTTACCGTTCCGCAACATTTCGTACCTTTGCATAACCTTCTGACCACTTTTGAACCTATCCATACCCTTCCACACATTTCCATGCATTTCCATACCCTTCTGCACCCTTCCGTACCCTTCCATAACCTTCTGCACTCTTCAGTACCCTTCCATACCCTTCCATACCCTTCCATAACCTTCTGCACCCTTCCGTACCCTTCCATACCCTTCCATAACCTTCTGCACCCTTCCGTACCCTTCCGTACTCTTCCATACCCTTCCGTACAATTCCGTACTCTTCCATACCCTTCCATAACCTTCTGCACTCTTCCATACCCTTCCATACCCTTCCATAACCTTCTGCACCCTTCCGTACCCTTCCATACTCTTCCATAACCTTCTGCACCCTTCCGTACCCTTCCATACTCTTCCATACCCTTCCATACCCTTCCATAACCTTCTGCACCCTTCCGTACCCTTCCATACTCTTCCATAACCTTCTGCACCCTTCCGTACCCTTCCGTACTCTTCCATACCCTTCCGTACCCTTCCGTACCCTTCCGTACTCTTCCATACCCTTCCGTACCCTTCCATACTCTTCCATACCCTTCTGCACCCTTCCGCATCCTTTCCGCACCCTTCTGTACACTCCCGTACTCTTATGAACCCTTCTGTACTCTCTAATACCTTTCTGTACCCTTTTACGCCCTTCCTTGCGCATTTTCTTTCAGTTCCGTTCCCTGGCTTTGCTCTTTTTCTCCTTCCAGACTTTGCTCCTTTTAACCTTTCCTTCGAACTATTCTCCACCTATGCTTTCCTTTCCATACCCTTCTATGGCACTCACTGCATCCAACATTCTTTTTGCCTTCTTTCTTTAAAATCATATCTATACAGTCGTGTTAAATTTCATGTTTTAAAGATTTTTCTTTGTTCTAATGTTACAACGTTATTTCATTTTCAGAGCTCTGAACCTAAATAGTCTTCCGACTTAATAGGCTGTGTGAAAACTGAGGTTATTTGCTAATAAAAGATGTAATGAAGGGCATAAAAAGTATTTCCTATCGGTTCTCCGTCGGTTCTCGCTGGCTTTTAGTAAGAACGACTGTTAGAAATAATTGCAGAGGTTTACTTGATTCCTAGAAGTTTGAAGCTTCAATTCAAAGTAGGTACTCTGATATTTCACAACGGAATTGAAAATTTCTACACAAATACGCTACTATTTTGTTATGTGCTGGTTTGATACTTTCATTGAACCCCCCTTGAGCGGGCAATTTGTTTTTGCGCCCAAACTTAGGAACAAATTGAACAAAGCAATACAAAATCGTCATACCTGAGAGCAAGGAGAACTCACTTGCTTTTTCTTTAATAATACCGCTACTTAAAGTTTCATCATATGCAAAGCGAAACAGCTATTTTGCCAATATAACAGCATCACACGAAAGCTCCTTGAAATAGTCCTTCTTCGCATTCTGCCAGCCAAATTTTTCCCGCCGTTACGATGAGCCTGCGACGAATGAAATGGGACTTCGTTTTGCTAACCATGTGCTAGGCATTCAAAGGTATTAGCCAATCATATTTCAATATTCTAGCAAAATTACCTTTGCGTTCAAAAGTACATTTCAAGATATTTGATAAATGCCTTTGGGAGCTCAGTCAAAAGAACTGTTTGCTAAAAATAGGGAACAAAGAATCACCGACGTCAAACTGAGAATAAAACTGACGGAAATGATTGAAAGAAATCAACCAATCCAAAATGTTTTCTTGATGAAAGCTGTTGCCTATGTTCCGGGGGTCCATGGATGAATTTAATTGATGCAAATGTGCTGCAGAATTCAAATTTATCGGAGTGATCAAGTAACATGCGATTCCCCCTGCGATCCTTGGTTTGCATGAATCATAGTAACATGTTTACTATGATTCATGCAAACCAAGCCTTCTTTTGATGAAATACTTTCCGTATATTTTGCTGTTTAGATAAAAGATATACGAGTCGATCTAATACATTTAACGAATGTGATCTTGCACTACAGGGCCTTCTTGCATGTCAATCAAAGGGATAACTGAAACCCCTTTCTTGTGACCCTTCCTTGTCTATAACAATAAGCCATTGCCCTTCTTTTTATATGAACAAAAGCTTTACCCTCAGAAGAAGTCCTTTAGAAAGTTTTGTTGTAAAAAGAATTTATTCAACAGCAAGGCAGCTAGAAAAGGCAAACAACAAAGTAAGAAAGTGAATATTTACAAATCTTTCAAGTTGGTGAGATTGGAAATCTACTCTTTCGAGTGTTCAAAATCGTAATGTCAATCATTCTGCAAATTTCAACGTTTGCTATTCATTGTTTTTAAAAAACCTTTAAACCTTTTGGGAAATGTATCCATTGAGTAGCAAAGACACCAACCAGGTCAATGCTTGCTCTCCCCAGTGCTCTTCTTTGTGTAATGTTTGGAGACAGGGAGGCTAGAATTAGTTTTTTTCCGGGCAGGTCAATCCTCTAAAGAGCGACTTTTTGGAGCTGCTGTACAAGGTCGCTCTTTCAATTTAACGATCCTGCCATGAAAGCATTTGAATTCAAAGGTCCAAAAGAAAATTATTAGAAGTGCATTAGAGCATAGAAAGTCCTCGTTGCTTTAGAGGCATAAGTACAGCGAATCCAAAAATAACTTAGGTCAAATTGATCAGAGCACGCGCACAAGAAAAGAATTAACCACTCACACGAAACTACTGCCTGCTGCTCTAGGATTTTACCGATTTGCAGAAAGGCGGAAACTGTTCACGTGTTTGATTGCAATGTCTATGCGCAATTTGATTGTTCAATCAACTTTTAACTGTGTCAAATGCCTTTAAAATACAATTCGCCCCGACCACTGCATCCTTAAGCTGGTATCCATAAAATTAATATTTTCATTTAATACTTATGTTAACGAGGTACTTATACCCATTTGATACCTATTTCCATTTTCATTTACCTTTGCATAAACGAGAATCAGAGCAAATGGTCCTTTTTGCGATGTTCTGAAAAATAATGATGTAACAAGCCTTAGGTCATAAGAACCTTAGATTGCCATGTCCTAAGGCTCAATCAGAAAGTCCGACGACCACTTGTCTTATTGTTTCATCACACCCCCATAACTGGCTGAAAATGGGGACTCCTGCTTCCCTTTGCAACTAATCAAGATCTGTAACTTACAGAAATTGAGAAATGAGATATAGTTTTGAACGGTGAGATGCAAAATCTCGTGTAAATTTCTCTAGAGCCTGAAGTTGGGGTAAAATTTGGGAAAACCCCTTGTATTACATATCACTGAGGTCAGTGGTTCAACGTGCGCTGTGCAGCCATATCCACATATCTCCGGGAGCCTCGTTTACAATTTTTTTCATTTATAAACAGGCTCAGCTTTAGCGGGAAATCAAAATTTCAATATTGCGGACGAAAAGAAATTAATGGTAAGATTATTTCGTTTATCTCTGACAATACATTACTTGGCATAGCAAGTGCTGCAGAAATTCCCATGCATCTTGACCTTAAATACAATAATGCAGTAAATATGATTTGATTTATTTACAACTACAAGCAAAAATTGTTGTACAATTAAGGAAATATTACATGAGAAGTGGAGACATATATTCATCTTTTCAACTTCAGGATATCAGAAAATTTTGAACTGTTCGTCGTTTGGTAGTTTATCTATTAAGAGAGCTGGTCTTATAATTGATTCAGATCAGAATCCGCGATTGTATCATCTGTTTGTATTTGCTGACAGTCTGTTATTGCAAATTTATTAATATCCAGCTTATATTGAAGAATTGGAGGCACTTGTATTTAAATCATATTGAATTTTATTCAACATTACATCTGCAGGTGCAAAGCCTCGACAATCATGTAAAAAGGCATGCACACACGATTCATATAGCAAGTAAGATAATTAAGTTAATGGGAGGTGTCAGAACATCAACATGGCAAATAGTTGGAATGATATTGCAAATATTATCGCTGAGGATCTTCATGCCATTGAGCCAGCAAATATCCGAGAGGCAATCAAGTTGATCGAAAATGACAATACAATTCCATTCATTGCAAGATACAGGAGAAAGCAGACAGGTGGGATGGATGCTAGTCAGCTTAGAGAGTTGAAGATATCTTATGACACTTTAAGGTGAGAAATGTTGCTTGTATGAAGTAGGTTAGAAAAAAATACTTTTATTCCAAAAACATAAGACTTTCATGAAAAAGCTCTTAAAATTTATAGATATTAGCTTTATTCATAACATAAAATGTAGTTGATTTTTAAGTGAATGTAAACTAGTGAAATGTACGCAACAAATAGAAGCATTGCTGAAACCCAAATAAAGAGATTGACATAAATGATATTTAATGCTAGAAAATGGCTTTATGCTTGCACAATTTTGTATTTTGGCAAAAATCTTGAAGATTGAAGACCATGTAAAACTAACTGTTTTGCTATTTTTGCTGACTTTAGTATTACCTTTGCTTTGTACATCAGTGCTGCAAAAATAGCCCCTTAAAGAACATCAAATGTTTCACCAGGTAAATCTAAAGAAGCAATTCTTCAAATACTTACTCATTTAAACAGATCCATTTAAAAAAGAGGTTACGCCAAAAAAGAATCATATCAAGTCGAAGTTGTCAGGAACAGGAGGGACAAAAATGGGGCTTAAAAATACTATTTGCAGGCCATTCTGCTAAATGCTCTTAGAATGTATTATTTTTCATTTATGTTTCAAAAATATTCAATATCATCTCGCAAAATGCTCAAGATGACTTTTCAAAATTCAAACTGAACTCCATGTTGTGAATCTGGGCTAGAACTTTGGCTTCTTGTTTAGATCTGACCTGTTTTATATATATACACCTAAGCATACATTCTATCTTAAAAATTATTTATGGACCATGGTCATAACCCAATCTTGCCATAGCTGCTGCAGCTCTGAAATAGGTTAAAAAATGATGATTTCTGGATAAATAAGGGGAATTTTCATTGGTTTTGCAAATGAAAGTTGGTAGCAGTATCTCTCAACCACTTTTTACAATTAGGAGTAGCATATATTAATTTTTTGTTGCTAAACATCATGTATTACCTATTACTTTTTACAACAGAGCAGTGAAAAACAAAGTTTTGAAAATAATTGACAAAGACAAAGCCATAATTCCAGCTGCAATCAAGGAATCTTTGTTCCATGCAAGAACAATAGAGGAGGTTAATGATTTGGTAAGGGCATGATTAGCCTTCTGTGTTTTTTGATGTTGAAAATTTCAGTAAGCTACTTGTCACTTGTCTTTCTCCTTCTTGCTAATCTGTTGTGTTGAACAGATGGTATGATGAATAGTTTCTATTTTTGTTTGTACAACTTTTTTTCTTAAATGTCCAGTATTTAACAGTTTATTACGTTCAAATACCTCCCTCAGAATGTTTAGGAAAGCCATGTGATGTAATAAGTCCATTTGCATTTCTGAATCATTGTTGAAGGTTGACAGAATGCAGATTCTCAGGTGACTCATTTCGTGATTTCTAATGATATTCAATTTGAAATACATGACACATCTATTTGCTGCTTGCTTTACGTTTTTGAAATACTAATCAATGGATTGTTGTATCTCTTGCAGTATGCACCATTTAAAAAAGGAGGAAAAGGGACACTTGCAGAGAGGGCTAGGAAAAACGGTCTTGAATCACCTGCAAAACAAGTTCTTGAAGCTCCTAACAATTTTCTTAACTTGAACAAATATGTTAAGGCTAATACAGATGGTAGGTTAATAAAAATTGAGAATTTTCCAGTTAATTTTCATGCAATAATTATTTTTAGTCTAGTAGATGATGGTTTGTCCTTGGAGTAGAAAAGTATGATTTCTTTTTGAGCAACACATTTAGCTTTTATAAGAAAAAACTGTGCAGTTCTACAATTAGTTTTTTGTATAATGAAATTAAAAGTTTTAATCACAAAAATCTGTAACACAAAAATCTGACATAAAGTTAGCGTTTAATTTTTATAGCGTTGATAACCAGGGTAGTGCCTTCACATCAAGCCCAAATCCACTGAAAGGCTCTGAATATTTCTATTCAATTTTTTAGGGTTGCAAACAGCAGCTGAAGTACAAGCTGGCATCCAGCATATTATTGCCGATATGATATCTAAAGATGAGGAACTTAACAGAATGGTTAACACAACGTAAAGTTTTCCATTTATTTACATCTTTGTTCAGAATATTGTTTTGTTTCAATTTATGACTATGATTATTGACCATGTCGATAACTGAAGTCATTACTTATGTTTATTCGAAGAACCTAAATGGAAAACCTTTATGGATGAAGCTCTTTAGATTTAATTATTTTCAGCACCCATTTTAAGGTCCAAAGAATGATGAAGTAGACCGTTGTATATTGCTATTTTGCAATGAGAATTTTTGCCATTTTGCAAGTACATTGAAATAATTTGTTTATTGCTTAAATAAAGAAAATCCTTAAAGAGCTCTTCATTTTTTGCCCAAACGAAAGAAAACTTTGGAGAAAAAGAATCTGTGTAAGAGTAAATCTAGTATTTGGATGCCTCCTGGTTTCGCTCTAATCTCATCATGGCTACTTTCTGGTAGAGCCTTGTGTATTATTCTTTTCAACAATCTTACTTAATTGCTGCTGACATATTTATCATACTTCTTTTCCTCTCAAAGCTATCAAACCCATTGGCATTATCTCATATATAAATCAACAGTCAGTGTCAATGTCTATTCTTCAAAATATACTGAGGAAGTGAAGGTTTTTAGTATTCAACTTCTTTTGCTTGCTAACAGCCTAGATGGAGAGGTTTCCATGGAAACAAAGACCACCGATGGAAAGAAAAAGGCAGACAAGGAAAAGAAATTTGTGAATTACTACGACTTTTGTATTAACATAAAAAGAATAAAATCACATCAGGTAGTTTTTTCGAAATATTTTAGTCAATTCTAAGAGTCCTACTAAAAGAATTGTTTTTATATTTATTTTCCTTTACTATAACTCCACGCTATCTAAAATTTTTAGTCTAAGATATTTGGTTTTCAGGATATTTCAAAACTTACGCAAAAATAGAAGTTTAATACATTATTAATTAAATACATTACATTTAAGCAGTTTATATTTCAAAATACCTTCTAGACAAATCGTTAATATATAATTGATGTGCGGTTGGACAAAATTTGTTTACTAGAGTACACATTTTGTTTCCGGTCTATGCATCAATATGTTACTTCATGTATTTTGCGTTTCTAATTTTATAAAGATATTGGCAATTAATCGTGGTGAGGAGCAAAAAGTTTTGATGACAAAACTTTTCATGAGTCAGAATGCGAGACGAAACATTTTGGTATGGCTAAAGACGAAGTGGGTCCCAAACAGTGCAATAGGTACTATTCTTGTTTAAAAAACCTTTAAACCTTTAGAGATTAATTTTTAACAGCTCTATATATGGGCTGGTAAGTCATTCATTTAGCTATTATTGATGTCGTTTATATCCAAACTTCGTACGCATTTTGCAGCCAATTAAGACATTAAAAGATTAATAGCTGTAAAAAATGTTTGCAGTTTGATAAAAATGTTCCTTGCAGCTATAATTCTGTCTGAAATTTAAAATGAGCCTTTAAAGAGTTTATTGTAGTTGGTAGATTTGCGCTATTCTTTTGATTTTTAGGTACCAATAGAAGTATTCTTACAGCTGCTGTCGAAGATGCCTTTAAAAGGCTTATTGAGAAAAAATTCTTGAAACGAATAAGGTGCTCGTTCGTGATTTTATAACTGACAATACAACTTCATATGAAAATACATTAACTGAATTATTGGACGTCCAAACCTCAAGGCGCCAAGGCCACGTTGCCCAAAACTTTTTGGGAAATATCCTTTTTAGAAGTGCCTCCCTTCTCTAATGCACCTTTTTTGTTCTTGATGCAGCTATATCTACCTTTAATTGTTCAGAACTCTTTAATTGAAGCAAAGGAGATGGCATTACCCTATTTTATAGGAAAATTTTCATTTTTATTCGTGACCTTGCTCGCAAAAGAAAAGAAATCTGCCTAATGTCACTCGTCTTTAATGTTCAACAGGCAGCTTTAAGCCATTTTCGTTCTAGATTTAGCTTAGTCGATGGCTGTTTATAAGGTTAGGATCGTAGAAATTTAGCCATTTGAGAGCCATGAATGCTGGTGCAGCCTAGATTTTTGTTATTGTAACTCTTCCATCACTTCAATGAGTTGTTTGATATATATTTATTCTTGGTTGTTTGCGGCAGTTGCAAAAAAGCTTTTGAAAAAGCATCAACGAGTACTTTTCATGTGACCCAGGTGAAAAGCATGATTTTATTCACTTAATGGTATGATTGCCATCTGAAATATATCAGATTTTTATACTGAAATCGTCCAATTTATTTGCACTTTTATTCCAGAAAAGACCGTCGCATCTTAAGAAGTTGCATAGAGACATCTGTTAACTATTAGTTTTTTCTTTGTAGGGTGCGTTTGACTGCGCTTGCTGAGCGTGAAGCTGCTGACATTTTTTCAAACAATCTCCAGAAATTGCTACTAGCTCCTCCTGTGCGCGGAAAAAATGTTCTTGGTGTTGATCCAGGATTCAAGCACGGTTGCAAAATAGTTGCTTTGGATAGGCATGGTAATAAGGATTTAGTATATAATAAATATAAGAACTTCTTTCTAGCATTTTTTCTTGTGGCTTGACGTTTATCCTTGTGGAAACCACTTTGAGTTATGGCCGATCTATGGGTTTTTTTTCAAGATTTAAGAAAATCGTTTGGAAGTGCAAGTAATACTTTTCTCTTGCATGCTGATTATCTTTCTGTGAAAAGAACGCCAATCAATCATGTAAACTCTTGATATTGCTTCCTTCTTTAGGACAGATGCTGGACACGGCTGTCATATTTCCATTTGGTGGGTTGGCAAAACAAGCAGAGCCGTCGCTCGCAGAATTGGTTAAGAAGCACTTGTAAATACCTTCTTTTCCATTGCCGAGTATTTTATTTACTCTTTGAAGTTGAATAAGATAGTGTTTCAGTTGTAGCTAGAATTATTATCTCTTTGTATTTCTACGACTCTTTTTTGTGGAAATCTTACATTGATCTGGTTATTTATAACAGAATCTTGATTAATATTATAGTGGATGAGCTTCTTTATATTTAAACAAACACTGTAATTTTCTTGTCCTGTTTTCATGCCTCGATGAATTGCTCCATTTGTCAGACTCATATTGTCTCAGTAGTTCACAAAATATGGTGTTCAAATCTGTCAACCTGCAACAAATGCCCACCGGAACATATTTCCTGTTTTTTTAGAATGCCTTTTTCTTTAGAACTCAAGCTTATATTTTTAGTAGTAAAAGACCGTCTAATTTCTAACGCAAACTTCTATTGAGCTTTCATATTCGCTTTCCTGTTAAGTTATTGATCTGGTGTGAAGACCTTGCTGTTTTGTTTGGGTTCTATAGAGAGCAAGTGACTTTCAGACTAGAGTTACACTATACCGGATTGCTATCGGAGCGAAGCAGAGCAGAGTAACTTTTACTCCGGAGTGATATTTAGGGTAGCAGTTACACTACGACGATCCGCTCGCTCAGAAGCCTGCATCTCTTTGCATATCGGGTTTGTGCGATTACACTACAACTCTCTGCTACGGAGTGATCCAGGGGTAATCCTAGTATTACCTCCAGAGCGGAGTGATTTTCACTCCACTAATCAGAGCGTTGTGTACCGGATTGGTGTGGCGTAGTGCAACTCAAACCCCTAGCCGATATGAAAGTTGCTTCGCTCCGATAGCAATCCGGTATATTGTAACTGGCATCTAAGATGAGAATATTTTCAAATTCACTATACCACTCTTTCTCTGCCTGCCACATTGAAAACTACAAATAGTCGCTCTTAATAATACAAAGGTTTTTTTTGGTTGCAGACTTTGATGTATTCACCGCCCGTTCTATTTTAAACATTTTAGATGTGATGTCATTGCAATTGGAAATGGAACAGCGCGTCATGAAACGGAGAATTTCATTGCAAATATGATTAAAAGGGGATTATTCAAACCAGTGGAAGTTAGTTATTGGTGAGTCTGCCAGTTGCAGATTTTTCATTTGGTAGATATATAAGCATTTTGGTAGTATTGAAATTTAAATGGCTGAAAATTGTATTGTTATACAATAGACATTGGTATTGAATACACCAATTCGACTTACGACCTCGTTTTGGAAATTTCTCATAACTTAATTATACGACTTTTTTAAGCTCAGATTTGGTTTTATCGCCATAATTTTAGGCGGGATACCATTTTTCATATTGTTTCAGCTTGTATTTAAGATTTTACGGATAAATGAAGTTTGAAAACTTGTAAGGGATTTGACCGCAAAAATCGTTCCGGGGGAAACTTTATCCCCCTAGTCGCCAATCACGGTCAAATCTCTTATAAAGTTTTTATCTTTGTGTCGTCATAAAATCAATATCGTGAGCAATATCATAATGAAAACTTACAATTAGACTCACAATCTGAATCTGAGGTTAAAAATTTTGTACAAGAACATTTTTAAGAATTTTTCAAAACGAGGCCGTAAGTCGAATTGGTGTATTATTTTTGAAGATGTTTTCCAATGTGATCCAACAAATTTTGACAGCTACAACTTTCATTAGTGCTATAGTCCTTTTCATTTTATAAGCTTTTTCAATGTACCTGCAAGGTGTTAAGCCAATGTTAGAGTTTCCACTAGCTTTTCTTATCTGACAAATTCATCGTTGAGTACCTATATGTCAATGTAGTTTCTGCCTTCTTTGACCTTCTATTCAGTTGTTTTCATTCCTTGTCGGTGAAAAAGGATTGCTGTGCTGTAGTCATATCTTTTCTAAGCTGCATACTTAGACCAATCTTTTCCCCTCTTATTTTGCAGGGAATTATCATTTATTTTACACAGTGCCAAATGCTGGCCTTTTGTGGGGCACTTTGAATGAATAACAACTGTCAAAAAAGTTTTCCGTGTAGGCATTAATCTATATCTAAAGCCTTCCTAAGAAGCGCTCTCTGCTGTATTTTACCAAATTTCTGCCCACAATTTTACGTCACCGAAGTCTAAATACAAATTTCATACCTTGAAACGTTATTTATATTGAATGTTTTTTAGCATAGTCAACGAAGCTGGTGCTAGTGTTTGGAGTGTTACAAAAGAGGCAGAGAGTGAATTCCCCAATCTCGACCCAAATCTAAGGAGTGCAGGTTACTTTTTTTAGCCCTTTTAAAACACGCGTAGTCGTTGATTAATTTATCTATTTTATTATTTTGACCGCTGAACCTTAAGTTTTTTTATTTTGTGTGAATGTAAACTTTGACACCTTCTGACGTACACAATTTAAATTCGAGATGGATTTATGAGCCAAAATTAAAAGTTTTTAGGGTCCAGATGCTTTCTGAATACTAAAGAACTCAAAAAACCATATGCTAGACCAAATTCAAAATTGTTTGATAATCAGTTTAGTTAACCTAATATTTTTTGTGTGGCTCAACTCTCTATTTTGTCTTTCAAGTATCAATTGGCAGAAGGCTCCAAGACCCCCTCTTAGAACTTGTCAAGATAGAACCAAAACACATTGGAGTCGGAATGTATCAGGTGAGTATTTTGAAAGGAATAAATACTAGACTAAACATTGAATCATTAATATTCAATTTCAGAGAAATGCTAGTTTATAACCTATAGTATACTGTTAGTATAAAATCCGTACAATATTTGCTTATGACAAGCAAAATGAAATTACTATACTATAAAATTGCAATTGAGTTTAATGGTATCACAGCTGTGACAGCAGTAAGACTTCCTTATTTCTGATTTTGCTTGGAGTGTGTAAGTTTCTTAAAGTGATGATTGTTCTAACCATATGTTATGGATCCATGAAATGCATATTTTGTATGCCTTTGGTTCTTTTGTTGTTTTTGGTACGTCAGGTGTACCAACTTTGTCCTTTTCTTACCGACCGACCTTAAGGCGTTTCAGGATAATTTTTAAGGGCTATGATATAACGATGAATAAAGGAATATAGGATTTTATAGATATTTATGGACCTAAACGTTCTAGGCAAGTATTAGAAAAATGTTAGGTTCAGACAGAATATCTTGGCTGTATTTTTGAAAAGTATTGAACAAACTAGTCTTTAACCAAATGATATTTGTACCACATAGCATGACGTTTCTGAAAGCCTACTGAAGGGTGCCCTTGAAGGCGTTCTGGAAGACTGTGTAAGCTTTGTTGGTGTAGATCTTAATGCCTGTTCTGCAGCAATGCTTAGGTAAGTTTATCGTTTTCATTGAAATTATCTCCAAAATTCCTTCTGTGGTATCTTTTTCTTTCTTTATTTAAAGTTGGTACAATTTCTAGCTATACATACTCAAGCTAATTAAAACCAACTAATTTAAATTATCATCGCTAAATATAATGTAAATCAAATATACCCGATGTTGCATGCGTATTCCTTGCCAAGATTACAAGTACAATTGAACGGGGTAAATTCTGAGATTTGAATATATGTAAAGTAAGGGAGTACTTTCTGTTCGCTATAAATTATCAGTGGTTTTACTGACGAATCTGTTCCAATGAGCATAACTGAAGATTTGCTCAGACACAAAGAATAATCAAAGTAAAGTGTTTATCTCAGTTTTGAAAATTTTGAATACTAAAACTTTGTTAAGTTTATGATAGCACAGTGTTTGATAGAATTTCCAGAATTTCTCTGTTTTTGATCCCACTGTTACTTTTCAATAACACTTTACAAAATTACTTTAAATAACCTTTTTTTGGATTAGATTCTTCAACATTCAGGTTACATTACATTCTTTCAAGCCGTTTATTAATATTTTCAAAGCTAAGAGTGAATTTGTTTTTCGCAATTCATAATAATATATTCATATAACCTGCTGCTCTACATATGTTCATATCAGCTCCAAAAGCAGGAAAATTTATCAATTCTTGTTTTTCTACGCTGCACTGTAACTTGACATGCTTTAGCAGCAGTTGGCATTTTTGGTTTTGTTTATCGCAAAACATGAGCCTCTTTATACACGTTTTAATCATAAATTCCTTGTGATTAGTTTAATTGCCGTTGCAAAATAAAGAGACTCAGTAGTAAATCCTCAAAAATTGTTGTCATTATCTTACAGACGTATAGCGGGATTAGGCAGCAAAAAGGCAGATGCAGTCATCGAATGGAGAAACAAGAATGGTCCATTCATCAACAGAAAACAACTTTTATTGGTTAAAGGTTTAGGGCAGAAATGTTTTGAGCAATGTGCAGGATTTGTGCGAGTCGCAGCAAGGTTGAATGATAACGAGGCTCCTTCTTGCAAGGTAAGACTGTCCTACTTTTGCCTTCTACGAATTCTAGATTATTTGAAGTAGTAGACTTTCATCCGGAATGTTATTTTAATCTAAACTTCCCCTTCCATTTAATGAAGGTAAAATCACTGAGAGCCACAGGAATGAAACGCAAATCAGAGTTTAATACAAAATTGTCTTCGAAGAAAAGAAAACTCGAAGGGGAGACCTACCTGCCAGAGCCGTTAGATCAAACAATGATTCATCCAGAATCCTACTCAGTGGCTTACAAGTAAGTGACATTTGTAAATATATCGCCGATTTTAGCATTTAAAGTCAAGGGATAATACTACAATTTAAATAAACTCGAGCTTCAAGTTTAACATCAGCGAAGAAAGGTCATTACCGTATTTCCTCTAATGAACGCCGCCCTCTGATAAACGCCGCCCTCTATTGAACGCCGCGTCTTGAAAAGCGGCGTTTATTAAAAAACACACCAAACAAGAAGTAAGGAACCGTGTATACGCTTACTATTCGAATACCATGAAAGTTTTTATCTCATAAAGACGATGACTCTGACGGAGACAGGGATATTTACATTCCTTGACTTGACATTCTTTTTATTTTCTTTCATCGCATTTTTCTTGTCATTTTTCATTTGACAAACTTTTCATTTTGTTTTTAACGCCGCCCTCTGATAAACGCCAGCCTCTATTGAACGCCGCATCAAAAATTTGGAGTTTGTAATAAGCGACCTAAGATAAATTTGGAGGTATTCTGCGACCTAGCACAAGAAAAGGTACCTTACATTCAGTTTGCCTGCATTGTTGTGTGTAGACAAAGAAGAGGTTTTAAAAGTAATTCGTCAGTAATGAATTAATAATAAATTGATGATATACGGCTTGACAAAAGAAGGAAATTATGTTAGAAAATTTTCCCCTTTTTGGCATTAGATTATGCATTCGGGTAATTGAATCCTTACTTTATTCATTCGTAATTTCTCAGTATATTACACGCATTTTTTATAAGAAACATGTTATAAGAAACGGTGGACTCAATTTTTCGAAAGTTAAGAAACAATCCTTCCCAAATTGGAAAAAAACTAAGAAACTTTTATAGTTTGCAGTTTTGACTTTCCGAGTTGACACTCGAAATAGTCTTGACATTGAACATCACTGTTTATTGCAACACTACACTTGACATGGAATTTGCATTCATTCCACTCAAAAATCGTACACTCAAAAAGTTTTCATTTGAAAATTTGTTTCGACTTCAACTCAAGTTCAACTCATTGATGAAGTTCACAGATGTCAACAGAATTAGTCATTCTCGGAAAGCAAAATTCCTTGATCACTTTGTTAGTTTATCTCTTAATGTAAGTGAACTATTTACTTACATTTATAAAAGCACATTTAGAAAATTCATTACCTAAGAAATTTAAGAAACATGTAAGAAACTTTTGATAGCAAAATAGCCAAAAAGTTTAACACCACCAGTCTATCAGCGCCGGATGTGTAAAAGTAATTTGTAAATTTCTTATTAGTAATTAGTAATTAAAAAAACAAGGCTAGAACAGCGATCACATTCGTCTTTTTAAGATACTGTACAAATAAATTCCTGTTTAAAGGAAAACCATTTTTGGTCATTATTTTGGACGATGAATCCAGATTTCTGCATTGAAAAACCCCGCCTTTTTGTTATTTTGATAGATTATAACTACCTAGATCATCATCACTTTCCTGCGTATATTTTGCATGAAGATATAACTTTGTTCTTTTGTCAAATTTTATTTGAATCTTATGGATGGTAACGAAAAGTTATAATTAAGACTTTCATCGAAGCAAGAGTTTATCCTGAAGTCTCGAGACTTCTCTCATCAAACATTGAAATCTTGATCCCATTACAAGATGCTACATTGTGTTAGCTGACTGTATTTTAATCACGTTAGATTGTTACAAGAAATTGAAGCAGATGCAAATTTGATTAGCACCAAGCGATTAACTGAACTTTTAGAAAAAACATCAAAAACCAGGTTTGATGGTAAGCTGTGTTTTGCATTTTTCACTGATTTTAAGCTGAGATTTTCCAAGAAAACTCCTTTGTTAGTTGTTTGCCTTCTTTCAGCGGGTTGGCTCAGAAGTAACTTCGTTTCAATTGACTAAGCTCATCCTACTTCTTACATCCTTTTTAACGTAGTTTCGACCTAATACCATTTTAATTAGGAAAGAAATCTTTTTTGATGATGGATTAGTCCGTATTCAGGATCGAAAGATGGTTGCTTCGGTTTTCTAAGTATGCTAATGGCGCACTATTGCTAAACTTTTATTAGTATGACGCTATTTAGGTTTGCAAAGTTTCAATCCATACGATGAGAATGGAACCTGCCATCACGAAACTCGCTTTTGGCTTTGAATGACTGATTATCTATGATGCTACAACTCCTTAAATATTTTAAGTCTTATTTAAACTTTGTTTACCTGTATAACTATGTTTTTTTCGAGTGTTGTCATGTCATTTTTTATATTTTAGGACTTGTGCAGAGACTAAATACAGACGAAGAGACCTTAGGACTAATAGTAAAGGCCCTAAAGCAGCCATTGGGTTACGATCTTCGATCAGGTATAGAATATTGTCCTATTCCGTTAATAATTTTATTTTGATTTTTTAAAATGGCGTACAATTCAGATACTATGCAACTTTGAGTATGCAATAAAGTTTATCGTGGATACAACCTTAGATGACTATATCCATTGTTGATTAAAAAGAAAGTAGCACTGTAGCAGAAAGGTATTGGGGAAAAGAAAGGTAGTTGCCCAAGTCTTGACTTATCGTTATATTTTATAAATGCAATATGGGTATGCAATTAGTAAAACGCTTGCCTCTTCAGTAGATTGTGATGAATTTAAAGCTTTGTGAACCTTTTTGGTGCAGGTTCGAAGTCAAAACCTAGAACTATAACTCAATACAAAAAAGGTTAAAAATGTCTTCGGAAACTCTGTTATTTGTTTTCCCTGTATTTCAAATAAGCTAACAACGTCTCTTTAGAGACATTTCTACAGCTTCCGTAGGAATAATATTACTTTTTAAGTAATTTTGTTTTCATCACAGAATTGGAACAGCCTTTGTTCAAGAAAGAGCTACGAACAATTGATGATTTAGCAATAGGTCAGCTCGTGACTGGAGTAGTCAGAAACATGACGTCATTTGGGGCCTTCGTAGACATTGGGCTAGATAAAGATGCCTTGATTCACCGAAGTAACTTGGCCGGTTGCAATGACCTTGGACCTGGAGACAAATGTGAATGTTTTGTGATTAACGTGGATAAATCAAGACAAAGAATTGGATTAAAGTTTAAATCTAGAAAAAATAATGTAACGATGCTAAGGTAAAGACTATATAGCAAATTGAAGGAATAATACAAAATGTAATTTATCATATGAGAAAATATATCTAAAAAAATATAATTTACTGAAAATAAATTGTTGAGTGAAAGAATGTCTCATTGCCAGGCCAGTTCTATTTGAGATACCCTCTGTTTTGTATATTTTGCTACCTTTCTTCAATTTTCCTGCATTTGGTACAGTTGAGACTGTACCCACTTTTATCAAAAAATGTTAATAAAATCTATATTTTATCAAGCGAGACCAATTTTTTTGACAAATAAAGAAAAATTGGTTAATTTGACGTTTCCTTGCGTGATTATAATTTTCAGATTTTCACTCGATGTTCTTCGATTAATGGCAACTTGTAAATTGATGAAAACATGAAAGAAAATTGTGTTTCACTCTTGTTCTTGTTGTAGATAGTTGTGTTTTTGGTTAGCATTGGTTAACATCCAGTTTCTTTATATCATGCTTTGGAAAGTGGTAGAGCTTAGACCTGGAGCAACAAGTCTCCCTTGTTTTTGTTGGTAAAAGGATCAAAATAGGCCAATTTTGAACAAAGCAGAGATACATATTTTGCATCAGTCTTGAAAAAATTAAGGGAACTCTATTATATTATTAATTGATTTGTTACTATTTCTCAAATGGAGCTAAAGATTGAAAAAAGGTCCTAATTATACTAAGGCGCGTAACAAACATGAGAATAGTGGACGCTTTGTCGATGCAGCATGACTTTATTGTCAGCCCTTCGTGATGAAGTGATGTTCAAAGTTCCAAAGAGTTTGTCCCAATTGTCTAAATGGATGCTTGATTTTCATATATCTCATTTTCCTTCATTCCTGGATCTAGTCTTTGCTTGACAAACCGGCAGATAATTCATCGCCAAAAAGAAGTGTGCAACGTAGAATATCTCCTTGAGTTTTGCTTTGTAAGTTTTCTTATTGAGACCACATTTATGAGCCAAAATTAAATAAGATAGCGGTTTTGGCCCCATGAAAGGCAATCTAGCTTCTTAACGCTCCAAAAGGGCAGTTTCATCTTGCCGGAAAAGCAGAACTTCAGCAATTTTATTACTGACATTGTCCAAAGAGAATGTTATGCATCTGGTAAAGAATTTAAATTCTGCAGAAGTTTACTTTAGACATCCAAGCTATATTAGTTTGCTGACAGTTTGCTTGGAGAAGATTCTCTTAGTAGACGCGTTTTATAGATGGGGGGGGGGGCACCTAGGATATCGTAGAAAAAATTATGTCTAACACCTCTGCCTTCTAAGTATAGTTCGATATGTTTCAAATAAATCTTCAATCAAATGCATAACTTCCGATTTATGAACATAGTAGGTTAAGGGACTAAATAGGTTTCGTCCAAAATCAACTATGTATGCACATGGGCTTTGGAGGCAAAACAATTTTGCGTTCACACCCTTTGGTCCGGTTTGAAATGCATTTCCAAATATTCCATGCGGTCTTTTACTTGTAATTTTTTAAAATCTAAAAGGATTTTAGCATGCTATCTTTCTTACTTCGTTCAATGTGAATTTCTTTCAAAATTTAATTACCGTAAATTTTCTTCTAAGCCCCCGCTGGGCTGATCATTTTTCAGAACTTCAAAGGGGGCTTATAAAAGAGAGGGGTCTAAGAAATATTTTGTAACAAACAAATTTCCAGTTCTTGACTAATTTTTTGCTTTTCGCGAAATGAAAAAACATCAAATCAGGCTTGAACTTCAATAATATTGTCATCGTCATCATTATTAATTCTGAAATATCTTCTTGAACTATGTCGTCTTCTGAAATCGAGCATTCGAAAGGGTCGAATTCATCCCTCTGAGTACCAACGACCTGTAATTTTGGTACAAGGCTCTCACATGGCCCGTCCTTAATGCACATTAAATCTATGTCTTCGGATCCGCGGAATCTGGGAGAAACATACTTCGAATTTTGATGAGGATTATTGAACGACCAATGTATTTAAATGAAAATTTCCGTTATTTGTTGAGTTAACTTATTTTGGCATCAGTATAGTTTTGGGGGATGGGGTTAAATTGAGAGGGGCTTAACAGATAAATTACGGTAAATGTAAATTTCAAGTTTCATTTAAACATATATACTTGCTGCTGGAGCACTAGCATGTGGCTAAAAATTTGAATTTCTATAAAATCTCACACTAATTGATGCTAAACAATTTATTGTTATGATTTAATCGCAAAATAAAATAACCTAAATCAGTAATCAGCCCAGACTAGGACCCAAAGCGAGGTTGATAAGTAGGCCCTTTTGTATCCCTCGTTTCCTTGTGGCAGTCTCTTTCAGCGCATTTAATTCAAGATGGTGAGTGAAAAGTTTTGAAAACTTTAACCTTCCGACAATCATCGTCCATCCTGTCGAATAACTTATAAAATCACAAAATTATGCCCTAAAAATACACCATTAGCACAGTAAACTTTGCATTTGGTCATTTTTTGATTACATTCTGACTAAGGAAAAAGTTGTAGGTCTCTCTGTATGACCTAATCTGAGGAACCCAACCTGATTATATTTTCGACACATTATATAGGTAAATTTAAAGCTCAGGTTTTTTTACAAAGAAATTTTGTTATTTATTGATTTCTACTCATTTTTTTTACATGTATACAACAGAAAACATGTAAGACTGTGGCTATTTTCTTCTCCTGTTGCTGTTGATTCGTTGATTAAAAATAATGTACGGCCAAAATTTGTGCTCGGCTACTTAGTTCAGTATATATTTTATGACATTGAAAGTATCTTTCAAATTGATGTGTATCTTTTGTCCTTTTACAGGGTCGCGTCAGGACAAAGACCGTTAAGAAGGCAGCTCGTGTCATAATTGAAAAATACTACCCAAGACTGACATTGGATTTTCACACAAACAAGCGAGTATGTGAAGAAATTGCAATTATTCCTAGCAAGAAGCTAAGGAATAAGATTGCTGGGTAAGATACAACTGCCAAAATGTTTAGCATTTCTTATATTGTAAAGTTTGTCAACTGCGATATATATGTAACGTTTATATTTTTGGTAAATCTACAGATGTGTATATTCAAATTATCGATTAAACTGCAGGACTACTGTAGTTCCAAAATAACATTCTAAGTATATAGTATTGTTGTAACATGGTTGGCAAATAAAGATAATAACAAAAGAAATATTTGTTTGAAGTATATATTTAAAAACAAGTTTGAGAGCCAGATTGGAATCTTTGAAAGATGCACAGGGGATCTGTTTCATATCCATGAAAATATTAAACATTTGCAAATGACACAGATAACAATTTTGTGCGGCTGAGACTATACCATTAAACACAGTATATATGTAACTTTGGGTATACATTTAAGAGAAAAACATTAGGAACATTATTAGTGGTGATAAAAACAATATAGCAAAGATAAAAAATTTTCATAATTCCTAAAAATAAGAACAGCGGGGACTCAACCAGATGAGAATAGTTTCCATAAACCAAAATCTGCTCAAACTTTGAAAACTTTGTGCATGCTAATAAATTAGATCATCCTGTCCTATGTGTATTTTACTCCCAGAAATGATAAAAATATCCTTCACATGTTTGCTGTTATTTGGCATTTGTGTGTACAAAAGCCAGCCTCGTGTGTACACAAGCAAATAGTAATGATTATCTAGACAATCTACAACTCTGAGGGTCTCCAAATTCAAATTTCTTTAAAAGCATCAATTATTACATATATACAACTTAAGTTTTACCGTTAAATAAGAATCCTGTGCAGGTGGATGAATCATTTTAATAGAAATTGCACGGCTGCAATTGTAGCTGATACTTGATGTGCGCAGGGGGTTTATCTCCCGCGCAAGGCAAAAATTCCAATCTGGTGTGAGCCTAAAATGACTAATATAATATATTTATATTTTATTTGTTTATGATTATTTATATGTAAGCTCTAAACATAGACAACTGATTAATAAGCTGATTGTCATATATGAAATTTTCCTGAATTTCAATTTTCTGGTTAGACAAATAAACTATGCAGGTAAAAAGCAGAGGCAATGTGGTGCAACTTCCTGTTATTCAATCTGGTGATATTGTGAAAGTGTTAATACTGATGATCTAAACTTCATGGGGTTATTATTACATGGGTGATAGTGGGCTTTAGTATTTATATCAGCCAGTTGATCTCACATTAAATATGAATCATTGTTTGGTTGATCTTGGAATGATTTTTGTTTTTTTTAGTTTCATTACCCACTTGATGAAGAGGATTCAGGAAGGACCAGTTCGTGGTATCTCAATTAAACTTCAGGAAGAAGAAAGGGAAAGAAGGGATAACTATGTTCCTGAGGTGAAGTTGATCAAATTTTTGCAAATGCACAATAGTAATGCCAATTTCCACCACGTGTTTTACACATTTAATTAGGACAATAATGAAAGAAAGCCCTTGCAAATTTCTTCTTAGATTAGACATTGTAGACAGAAGTGCTTAGAATCTCTGCTACTGTATATACTTTTTTGACAGTTTAATAAGAAATTTTTTATCCTATGCCCATAGGTTTCTGCCATTGAACAAGACATCATTGAAGTTGATAAAGACACCAAGGAGATGTTGAAAGTTCTGGTCAGTAGTTATGTCTCTATGATTAGGGGAAAAAATGATGCTCCCTTCCTATTTAAAGTCAGTCTTGTGTTGCTGGTAGTTTTTTGTAACCTGAGCCTGATATCTGGCAGAAGTTTTAGTCTAAATAATGACCACTTGCAAACCTTAAACAGATTGTAATGATTAAGAAAACCAATGCCAAACTATTATTGTGAGTACCAAAATGTCAGAAAATTGAAAAAAGAATTTTACATATATACAGGTGCAAATTTGTTTATGATATACATTAAATATATAATTTTGTAAGAAAGTGGCATGCATGTTCCAATTAACATTCTTAATTGTAGTCATGCACATGCTTACACAACCAGCTCCTTTTAAAATGTTCCCCTCTTAGAACCAATAATTGTATGGCATGGGGGCAGGGGCGGACACTTGGTCAAATATTGGGGGGGCAAGCCTATTGTTTTTAATAAGATGACGTCACATTTCCCATTGTTTTAGAACAAAAGACCATTGTTCTCTAAAGTATTGGGGGGGCGATCGCCCCCCCTCGCCCCCCCAAGTGTCCGCCACTGCATGGGGGTTTCTCACTGAGTTTTTGATTCTTTCATTTTCTCTTCAGTCAGAATATTTTTCAAAGATCTCTCAGTTCTAAACTTATTGGGTTTTTCTGATAAATTAAAAATCTTACATTTGTATATATTCATGCTGAAATATATCAAATTTGAAGATTTCCAATTTCAAAACAATACCTTGTGACTTGCAGTCAATAAAATAGAGCTACCTTTCACAGCAATTTTTTAATGAAACTAACTTAATGAAACCTCCATGATTTTGCCAAATAATTATTTCTTTGTGAAGAGTTTTTGCAGGTTAAAAATACTCTCTGGGCAATAGTTTTGTCAATATTTTTGACCCTCAGTACAAACTTTTCTGAAAAAATGTCCAATATTTATATGATTATGTGATCACTGGAATCAAACAATAGCAAACTGGTATATATAACAATCTAGACATTCACCACACCTTCTGGAAAAATTGATTCATGTCATTCTCTGAAGTTACAGAAAATTGTATATTTAGTAGCCTATTTATCAAGTATTGAGTGTATTGTGTACAGTGTATATGTTTGTTATTATGTCAGTAAATATCAAAATTATTCTGTCTACAGGACTTTGGCAACATTGCAGGTCTGCAGGTTACAGAACCATTTCCTCAGACAACAATTAGAACTGTTCCTGGGATGCGATCATAAACTCCACAGATGTATGTGTAAATTTGAAATTTAAAAAAGTGCCCCATGTCAAATTTGTTGTTTTTTGTTCAAATTTCTTCTGGAACACTGGTGGGAAATATTCCTTATCTCCTTTTAAACCAGATTGCATGTGAAAAGCATACCAAATGTTGTCCGGATACATATCACAATATAAAATACTCTAAAATGTTGGTGAGCAGATCTGGTATATATGTATATTTTAAGAAATATTCCAATTTGGAACTCTTCCATAAGTGGCAATATTTCCTTTTTTAAGATTAGTTAAACTCAAGTGTTCCTTTCAGGAAGGAAAGATGAGCAGGTCTTTGCACATTCTAGCTTCCTTTAAAGTTAATTCTAATATCATGTTTTGAATCAAACAATATACCAGGACAGAGTGGAAGCAAAATTTTTGCTGACAAAGGGAATTCACTAGGAAACAATTTAACTACACTGAAATTTCTATCTATAACCTTGTTGAAAATGAAAACCACATCAAAAAATGTGACAACAGTATATTTAAATGTAAAGCATATTTCTCTGTGATGCAATTTGTTTTAGCAACAACCACATTGTCCCAATTTGAACTTTTAAATGAATTAAGCTAAAAAGCTAAAGGTTATATGTTTGGGACCAGCACTTTTCACTCTATAAAGGAAAGATTTTTATTTGTGTGGATAAATTTTGCCTTTCTCCACACAGGAGAATAGGTAACTGGTCTATGTTATTATAATCTCTGAACATACATCCTGTTATATGCTCCTGAGCATAGTGACCTGGGGGTATCGTGTCAGACTAGTACACAGAACATACTACAGATTGGGGGGAGCTAAAAGGTTTGGGGGCTAAACATTATTTTTTAAGCATTTTGCAGCTTTGAAAATTACCCGGGGGCTTGAGCAATCATACCCTAGCTTCTCTGGCCCTGGTATCTCACCACTATACTTGAATTTACAAAAAGTGATTATTTCATAGATAACTGTACAAAGATGAGTCTTGGGATTGATCCAACATGAAAGCAGATTTTATTGTGTGTAAAGTTCCTAGGTCCAAGGACTACTACTGACAATCAGTTTTGCCTGGTTTGGCTTGCAATTTCCAAATCCTTGACATAAAAGAACAGTCTACAGCATCTTTAAGTCTTTAAAGCAACATTCAGTAAAGCCTTAAACAAGTGCCCAGGCACTTATTTAATTTTGAGCTTCAAAAGGGGCGCTATGAAAAAATGGACATAAAGACTGAGAAGAATAAAAATTAGAACAAACTTTGTTGTTTATTTCTACTTTTTTGGCTGAGTGCCTTCATCTTTCAGTAAGACTAAAACTTAGTTTCAAAACTTGTTCTGGCAAAAATTTTGAATAAGCGCCCGTTTCTTAAGATAAAGTTGGGGGGTGCTTATTCGAGGGGGCTCTTATTTAATAATTTCCCGCATAAGGAGGGCGCTAATTAGAGGGGGCACTTATTTAATAATTTCCCGCATAAGGAGGGTGCTTATTCGAGGGGGCTCTTATTTAATAATTTCCTGCATAAGGAGGGCGCTTATTAGAGGGGGCACTTATTCGTACTTTCTGTCCAGTCTCGTAGAACATGTTTATACAGACTGCGCAGAGTGTATAAGCAAAAGATGCGATAAGGGTCATTCAAGGGTGATGGATATGTCAATTTATCGCTTTATTACGGTGAACAGAAAAAATGGTTACTTTCACCTACAAACGAAGAAGCACTTAAACAAAGAGTATACATTGAGATACTGGGCCCAGTCTGAATACTTGCGCCGCAAGTCTGAGACGTACTTCTTTGTTAATAACTCTATTTTGATTATGGATAATACTCAAAATGGGATCTATTGTAACGGGTTAAGAATTCAAAACTTGTTATACAAAAGCAATTCATTTTGAGATGTACCGTATAATGTGATACTTCAAGAACGGGTAGATTGTATCATTTGATTTTTGTAACGCAAAGATTGGGTGTACCAAGCGCAGTAACAAGTGCTAAAATACTTGGCACGATAAGTTTAGAAACTCGTTCATATTACCTTATGCCAGGGACGGGCAACCTTTATTACCTTGGGGGCCAATTTTACAACGTTTCGGACCAGGGAAGGGCTGCAGTGGCGTACCCAAGGGGGGGAGTAGGGGTCCTCGAGATTTGTCCTAAAACGATGTAAAACTCAATGAGGGGGGGGGGTAGTAAACTGTATGCTTATGTCAATAACTATTGTAAATGCTTTGCTATTTACCGTAGCCAGCATGAATCAAATAATGGGGAAAAATTTTGCAAAAAGGGTGTTTCCCCGCATTTGCGAGTGTTTGAAGGGCGTGGTCCAAGAACATTTTCTGGGGGCTGTGCCCCAGAACCCCCTCCGGATTTGGCCCGCGGACCGTAGGTTCCCATGCTATATCGGTTTTTCTCACTTTTAATGTGGTGTTTACCGAAAATATGTTGAAAACATTGGCAGATAGCCCTGCATCTTTTGGATTTCTCATTTTGGGTGTGGCATCTTTGTGAACGTGTTCCAATTTGGGTAAAAGGGAGGTTTTTCTTTTGCATCTCTGTTTAAATTTAGGAAAGCCGCTGGTTCGAAGCTGAATCTGACACAGGTGTAAGCTCAACATTGTTGGCATAGCTTTTGACCTCTTTGGTGACTTTGATTGATTTACTTGCAGCTGTGCATTTCATTTTAAACACTAAAGTTTTTGTTTCCTAAATCAAATTACTTTACCACATACCATTGCGTGAATCAAGTGATGTAAAGTCGTGGGAAAGTCTTTTTGGTCCTGGTGAAGATTTCCCTTACCAGTTTTTTCTCAAGTAAGTATTCAATTGATTCCTTCGGGTTTATTCTAAAATTTTATGATCATCTAGATTTTTCTATGTTTTCTTTGGAATTTTAACTAAGCTTACTTTATTTAAATGCCACTTGTTCCATGTGGTCCTTGCTTTTCCCTGCAAACAACAAGAAACACAAAAAGTAGTTTCGGTAATTTATTCAAGTCTAAAACCCAGGATAGGACTTCTAATGAGAAGCTTTCATATGCATGTAGTCTCTATACGGAAATGATACAAAGGCCAGAAACAAATGCTGCTTTAGTTTATTTGTGGTAGTGGTTTAATTTATAATTTCTCTTTTTGAAAAGCTCTCTGAATTACGATCTGTGTTTTATGAGGTAAAAATTTTTGCTTAAAGAGATGAAATTTTACATCGAATCTTGGACATTTCTCACTCTAGCATCATGTTTAATGTTCGTTTCCTCTGGCATCAATTTGTTTGCGTTTTAGTTAGAAGCATATAAGTTATAAAGACCAATTGATTATAAAAATCGGATAATTTGGCCCTTCGTGTCGTGTAGCCACTGTCGTTTGCGGCCAAAGGTAAGGCTTTGCAGCTCAATGTGGTATATGAATCAGTTTCATAAAAAATTCAAAGAGGTTAGTGGTGCTGGTTTACGGTTAATATAATCCCCCATCGCCATTTAGTTGTGACAGCTAACGCTTTTCCAAAATGGTTATTACATACAAGGTCTTTTTTTCTCATTTTGATCCAAGATACCAGTCATCTATAACCAATGAATATTAGGACTTAAATTACTTTATTGAGTCATTTTGGAATTATAACTTGGATTGGGGGATATTAAGGACTACCTGATGGTTCACATCGTCAAATTTTCTATGCAAGAAACATTTAAAACTTTTTAGCCATTGAATTCCTATACCCCTACCCTTTGCCCCAGATACCCAAAGCAAAATGAAATAAAATAGTTTTGTTGAGACAAGTTTTGTACCACCCGTTGTGCCATTTTGTCTCTTTTCGCAAAAAATTAGCCACTTGCTTGCGATACAACAGCGATTAGCAATGCAGTCTTATCTCTTTTATGGTTACTGAGTCAATACAAGGAGGCTTAAAATTTTGATGAAAGGAAATACAGATAAGGTTATATGTCGTTAAATTATTGGCTGTTTACCGTGAAGTGCATTAGTCTTTACATATTCCGAGACTGATTTATATCGGCAATTCAGCGTTCGTATGAATATTAAAATTCCTTTTTGACCACCCTTTGTTCCAATATTATCGGAGATTATGGGTTACATTGTATGAAACCTTTCTTTCTTCAGATACAAAAAGGTTGAGGTTGGGGGTACAACTGGATCAATACTGCCTTTGACAAGCAACTAGTTTCAACTAGAACTCGCTTGGGAAGCAGGCAGAAGGCTGTTGAGGTCTTGTGTAGTCCCCAGCAGTGAGATTCAATAAGTCGGAAGGCCTCCTAGCAGAGAAATAGGTACTCATTCCATAAAGCTTCTGCAATAAAGTAGGCTGTTGCATTTCAGGTTGGTTTTTCCCTCTACCCGGCATGGCTGCTCCATTCATTACAATCATATTCATGTCGATGCTGGCTCTGACCAAAGGATATGGTAAGTGCTTGGATTTCTGCAATCAAAGACTATTTTTGCATCACACCTTTTTTTGCTTACACCATTTGTTTCATTTTCGGCATGTCTGTTGGTATCATTGAGCCTAAATATAGCTTCTTGAGCGTGCGGTTATGCGCAATAGAAGTTGGTCCACAGAGGCCGATAACAGTGTCATGGACCCCAAAACATTAACGGTTCTGGTTTGCACGCTGGAACGCTTTCGCGTTCTGTTTTGATTTTGAAATCTGTTTTATTTTCCCCTGCAATGGATAATGTTTCTGAATTATCCAATGCCCAGGGGATAAGCATTCAAAAATGGAACTGGGCCACACCAAAGGTGAGCCATGGCCCCTGTTCATTCGAGTAAGGCACTCATGATAATAAATTGCCAATAATTGATAAAAAAAACCTTTTCTTCTTTATCAAGTTCATTCACTTTAATGTTCAGGGTGCGGCCCCGAAAGATACCTAGCGTTGCTGATGACGGGGGACGAGTAGAATAGTGTTAAACCTTGGTAAAGTATATTGCTATGTCTGCTGCGTTCACAATATCGTACAAGTGTGTTGTCTGCCGTCGATGGAAACAAAGAATGAAAGAGAGCTGGGTATTTTGTTTGGAAGTTTGAGAGCTTTGCCAATTTTTGCTAATTTCAATTCGATTGTTGTTTACATTTGGAGGGAGGAGCCTACAAGTTTGCTTCAAAAATATGCACGAACTTAATTAATAACAACCGAACTTAATTAATTAATATCTTCAAAGACACATTCTTAGGAAGCCAAAAGTTTTAGAAATTCTTGTAAAATTCCTTTTGTATAGAAATTGCAGTAAGGGCATTATCTGTGTGCCTTGTCCCTTTCCGTTGTTGTTTCCGCCATGTGGTCAAGTCTTCTTTTTCAAAAATAAAGAGTAAATCTGTCCACTTTCTGGATGCTGGCATTTCATCAATAGCTGCAATTACCTATTGATTATAGTTCTTTGTATATATTTATGTATACCGGTAGGTGTTATAAGTTATATAGACTTTAATGCTTACATTAACAACGTGAGAGCTTTGTCATTAAAATCTCGAGGTGGGGGATTTGGGGGTACTCCTTGAAATTTTTTGCTACCAGCCCCTTAGCTTAAACAATAGCAACTATATTTTGTTGGACTTATTTCTTTACATTTCAAAAAAATGCCAAAAATTGGTTTACTCTGGAAGCTCTGAAGACACTTCTTCTGGTATTGTTGAGCCCCATTTTAAATACAGTTGTTCGGCTTGGGAAAACTGTAGTCCAACCAATCATTTGCAAAAACTTCATAGCAAGTCTGATGCTGTTGATAGGCCACTGTTAAGTACTCCGTGACTGAAACCAACTCAGGATTTTATGTACAAAGATCCAAGAAACTACCAAAGAAAACATCAAAATGGGCAAAAATGCTTTTCATTTGAAGGTGTACAAGCATGGAATGCCTTTCCCGTCAAAATTAAACAGGCATCTTCCCTGCAGGTTGTCAAAACCAAAACAAAATGAAACTTTTCGTTCCATATGCCTCAAAGACTGCGGAGCATTATGATGGTTTGAGGCGGGCTGAAACGATTTGGGTAGGGTCTTGACATGCTAAAAACTAAGAGCAGGGCGATTTTTTTGTTTTCAAGTACATTTTGGAAAAGCCCCCCTGTTTCCGTGTTCATGTGCATGCTCTTTGAATACAGAACGGTTGGTTGCCTTACTCACCCATTTCTTTTCTGCTTGTCTCCTCGACAAGAAATGCTCTTGCTTTTTTACCATCAAAAAGCACTGTTATGTTCTCAAATCTTTTGTTATCTGTATTTACTGGTTTTTGTTTAAGGTTTTATGGTTCGATGCACGTTAGACGCAGCTGGATGGACATTTAGACAAAATACCGACTATCAAACTAAACTGGCGCTCTGCTCTCCTTTCAGCGAAACTGCCTTTCTTTTCTATTCATAACGTCTTTGTTTTGAAAACGTTATTAACTGTTTAATCGTCAGTGGCACACACTGAGTGTTTTTTGCTGACCCTGTTGTTGTTGTAGTCTAAGATAAAAGCTCAGCTGAGCTCTGCACTTGTCAAATATAGTGAAAAGGGCCTTTATAACGTTCAACGTTGGTCTGGTTATTTGCAAAATTGACCCTTCAACTTCTTTCATTCAAGTCCTACACGAAATCGTATAGAGACAAGAAATGTTTCATTGGCTTAAGCGAAACACTTTTTTTTCTAAATTAATATCCCATTCAATGCTTGGCTCGAATAAAAGCGAGCCAATGTCGGTCTTTTTTAGACGATTTTAAAAAGGGCCTTGGACTGCTGCAGTTTGAACCAGAAATTCATCCCCAACAACTCTTTGCAATTAAGAAGCTAATATATAAACCGACACAGAATATCTATTCTGTGATACTGTCTGAGAGAATAGGAGAAAACATCCACGAATCCTTAGGATAATGCCATTACAAACAACAACCGCAACTTAATAGTGTTCTGATTATTTAGGCTCATGACACGTAATCGCGTCAAAAATGTGCATGAAAAAGAAATTGTTTGAGCAACTCCTCTGCTATTTTAAATCATATATCATCAACAGATTTCAAACAGATCTAATATACTTTAAGCTTGAAAGTGGTCACGCACATTCATTTAAGCGAATGTAATCAAACTACAAAACTGTCAGATTTAGAGTATTTTTCATTTTGTTACGGATTAAGGTTACACCAAAGATTTGATGTGCCAAATAGGTAGAGTGTCTGCAATCTCATTATCCTTGACTTTGTATATTTAGCTTTTACTTAGATAGGTGACGCCACTTATCAATCTTGCTTAGAGTTTTCTAATGGCATTAACGCATATTTCAACCAATTAGCATGAAGATGCACAGAAATCGATAATAAAGTCATGAATAACAGGGGCATGAAATAAATGCAGTGCTACTCGAGGGGCAGATCACTCCATGAAAATCTCGTACACCTTTGATGGAGATCCTATTATTTATCTGAAAATCCCCGAAATTCACTGAAAATCCTTTTGTTTCGTGGAAATCTCGTACGCAATTTACAAGAGCGCCGTCATCATCATCATCATAATAAACTTCAATCATCATCATCATCATCTTCAATGACACCATCATCTCCCTCATTATCATCGTCATTGCAGTTTTTCATTTACGATTCTATTTATCATATTTCAGAAATCGACCTGCTATCTGCATTTGAAGTTGACGAAAACATTGTTGGCATAGATCCATTGAATGGGCGATATAGAGCCTACCAGTTTTACATGTACAGTAAGGAAATCAAATCAACGCAGTATATCGGTTATGAGATCCTAGAAAACATGCTTACCTGGTCAGAATTTATCATCGTTGCTAATGTGCGCCTCGATAAAAATGGCCCAGGAACTGTATTTGCCATAGAAACACCAAAAGGTAGACCAAAATTTGTTTTATTTATGGATTCTCCTGCACAGAAAGTTGGTATTCGCTCCCACCTGCAAAGGAGTGGGAAAAAGACATTGACGTTTAAAAAGGTACCCTTCAAACAACAGCAATGGCATCGTGTGGTATTACATATGAGGGTTTTGAATGAAACTAAACCGGTGGTAGATTTGTATGTTGACTGTAAATTTGTTGAACGCAAGAATTTTCCCATATCTATCAGAGAGGCTTTGAATGAAGATAAGGCTCGAGTTGAATTGCGGCTTGGACAGATAAAGAACCACGGAAAAGATATCATGAAATTTGTGGTAGGACTCTATTCTGACTTATTGGTTTTTTATAATGTTTGTTCCTTCCAGTAAACGTGAAGAAAACTTCACTGCAAATTGTTTCTTCTTACGACAAAAATCTTTGACTGAAGCGATAGCTCGCATTTTCATCAATTTCCCATCAAAACCTTACTTGCAATTAACGCTGGGAAACTATCAAGGTCATCTTTACTTTTGTCAACAAATAAATCTTGTCCCTCGAACCTCTTCACACTTTCAATTATTCTGGACCCAATTCCTTTACCAAATAGGCAATCGAAACTTTTCAAGGATTTTTAGTAAGCTATTTTTTATATTTAGTAATCAAATATCTTACCACCAATTTTTCTGTCTTCAGGGGGCTATGCAGGATGTCAAATTGGTTTTCAACAGGAACGTTGATTGGTACACTAGTGCAAGACGTTGTCTTAATTTGGAAGTGACGCAAACTACCAACAGTAAGAAATTTCAGTACAATATACCTTCGTCTTGACATTTATCATCTGAGTAGTATTTTGGTTGATATATTTTGCTTGTTTCCATACATTATTGGTAGATTGCATTTTTGGTTACACACGAGGAAAAGAATTTGTCACATCTTTGTTTTGAAAAGGTCATTCCAACTCTCCGCTGCCGTTTTACCAGATCTAAAAGATACATTGTTAGCTTTCTCCTTATTTCATTGAACTGTTTTGGGAATATATTCGTGTATGAATCTGATTGGTTCATAGGAAAGTAACAGTAGCCCAAGGACCGATTTGTGGGGTTAGTTGAAGATGAAACAACTGCTTTCATACCTTCTTGTTTTCCTTTCATGATTCCAGGGCAATCAGTTTTTCATGTATATTTATTTCCCTCAAACAATATCCAGGGTACCATCAGGGTACCGTCTGTTAAGGGTTCTTTACATGTCTATTTGCATCAGTTATATTTACATAATTTTGCCCAACTCTAAGCATGGGCTATAGAGAGGCTAAAGTCCTTCGCATCCCTTCTCAACAAAAATGCACAATAATCTTTTACAGATATTCGAGCACATGCAGACCCAAGTCTTGGAGTTTTGAACGAGATGAAGGACATCACTAAAATGATAAAGAATCTTCAAAATAAAATGGCCGACCAGGTATATTCTACAAGTTTTTGCATTTATTGGCTTGTCTGCTCTTTTTTAAATTTTTCTGCTTAAATTTTGACCTAATGTAGCATTTGTTGTATAAATTTCTGTTGGCAAGAAATTTTGTTTTCCCGCTAGGACTACAGTGCTCTTTGAAATTGATTCTGTTTCGAATAGAACACAATTTGTAGAGGAAGACCATGTAACTAGAATAGAGAAGCTACTGTAAGGCGTAATTGGTAAAATATTTATCCAGCAGCACTTCAATTCCTGTTCATACCACTTATCATTTGACGCAGGGCACGATGGTTTTCTTCTCGTAAAATCTTTTTGTTTTTCCCTTTTCCTTTTTAGCTAAACTTATTATTTTAAAGGTTATGATACCCAAAATGACTGATATTTCATTTTTTTAGTTGTATAGTTATAAGTTTTGTGATGTGGTCGAGTCTGTTCATCTACAAAGGCGTAGTATCACATCACGGCTTGCAAATGTAACACATTTATGTACCTTACCTTATGATCTTTATGCTAGGTACGAGAGTCAAGCTACTTGCGCAAATGGCTAACTAAATGTGGAAAATGCAGACTAGAAGGGCCAGCTACTGTGGACACAAATGAAACTAAAATATGCGCAGAAAATCCAAATCCGTGCCATGAAAACGGCTTCTGTACTGATTTGCCTGGCAGGGAATTCAGATGTCAGGTACAACTTTCTCTTCATGTATATCTTTATTCTGCTTAGTTGTAGTTCCCTTTTAAATATGTTTTTTGGTCTAGCACAAATAATGAACCTTTCAATACACATAATGATTAGAATTTTGTATCCTTTCAAGCAGAACACAACCTTTAAGTATATGGCCTAAAATAGTTCTTGGGTCATGAAAATTTTCCTTTTTGTAGTGCAATACGGGTTATGCTGGCAACGGAATATATTGTGGGATAGACGAGGATCTCGATGGGTATCCGGATGAAAAGCAACCCTGCTCTGAAAGAAACTGCAAAAAGGTAATTGCTTTTTGACATATATTTATCTTAGTATCAAGTATACTGCCTACAATGAGAATTTATAATGTACAATTTATCAAATAAAACACCGTGAATAAGTAGACTTGTGCTTTGCATACAGGACAATTGCCCGATGTTTCCAAACAGTGGACAAGAGGACTATGATGGCGATGGCATTGGAGACTCGTGTGATTATGATGATGACAACGATGGTGTTTCTGATCGCCAGGTGTGTATCATGAACATGAATGATGTTGCCTTGCCATGTGTTTTTCTTAGAAAGTGTCTACATCAGGGGTGAACAAGGTGTTGTCTCATGGGACCAATGTTCCCAGATAAATATTTTTGGTTCCAGAAAGAGAAAAATAGAAAAAGGACAGAAACGAAAAGACACTAACAGAAAAAAGAATCCACAAAATCAAGAAGAATATAAGAAAAAGAAAATCATAAACCAGTTAGCAACTATCAATCAATCGTAGCATAAAAATCGCAGAAAAATCCTTTTAATCAATCATAATATAAAAAAACAGAGATTTCCCTAACAGATGTAAGACGTAATGGATTAAACTAAATAAACTGCTGTGATCAAGTAAAAAGGTGCTGCAAATTTTGCGCATCAATGTATAGAATCAGTGGGAAACGACAATGTAGTAAGTAGCATTAATTCGAATTTTTCTCTGAAATAATTTCCAGTTAGAAATGCTTTTCGTTCTGTCGAAAATAATAATGTTTTTTGTAGAAGCTTGAATAATAGAGAATCTTCAAGCTGCTTAATGAATTATAAGAATTATTTTTGAGAAAAACAGAAAATGCCACTTTACTATGCTGCAATTGTCGAACCCGTTACGGTTTTGCAAACCAATACTATTAGTCTATTTTTTAATGTCAATCAATTATACAAGTCCTTTAGTTTGATTTGAATGCATTTTTAGGACAACTGCAGACTTAGAGCGAACCCGATGCAAAAAGATAGTGATAAAGATGGCCATGGTGATAAATGTGACAATTGTCCTTATACCTCAAATGCGGATCAAATTGACAGTAATAGTGATGGCCTTGGAGATGCATGCTCAAAGGACAGTGATGCTGACGGTAACGGAACCGAGATTAATGAAACCTCTTTCTTCCTTCATTATTAAAATAGGAGAGGTTTAGAATTGGAAATTGGTACTTTCAAGGCACTATTAGTACTTTGCATGATTGAGAAACATAAAGATATTATATTTGAGAAAAGTAGGTTTTCAAAATTCTTATGTCTAGTGGAAAAGAGACATATACAGTAATAAAGCTTGCGTACCGATTAGATTTGGATAGTGGCCTATAGCTAGACAAAGTCCCAAATGGCACCTCTTAAATGGCTCAGATTGTTTCCTTGCGGATAGTTCGTGACATAAATACAGAATCTACAATCCAATCATACGGACCAATTCCTTTTTACACTTTTGGCCTCCAAAAACACAGCAAAATAGTATCTTTCTCTTTAGTATACTGTATCTTTCTCAAAAGAGTATGTTTTGTAGTATTTGAAAATCGAATGCAGCATCGAAACGCTTGTTTTTAAGTGTCTTCTGTTAACAGTTTCAGCAACAGCTTTAAACTTCTTTCTCTTTTAGGAATACGTGATCGTTTAGATAATTGTATGACGACTTATAACCCTCTTCAATATGATAGAGATGGGGACAGCGTTGGAGACAAATGTGACAATTGTCCTCGAAAATACAACCCTACTCAGGTATTGTTGGTTGCAGCTGTTTTGTCTACATAAGTTTTTGTCACAAATTTAGAATTATTTTCCCCATCATCGTTCCTAATTACATTCTTATTTGTATCACCAATTGCACTTTTGTTGTAAATTCACAGCTTGATATATTACGCCAAAATCATGCACGTAATAACTTTAGGGAATTTATCAATGACGTCATTTTTTGAAAGCTACCTTGGTTCATTGAGGTATTAAGATCGACAGCATACAAGCTACATTAATCGATTTAGCCGTACGTTCAAATATTTTTCTTAGGATGATTCGGATGGTGATGGAATAGGCGACGAATGTGATACTGGAAATGATATGTAAGTATTTGCAGTCATAGCATGCAATACTTTCAAAACGTTTTTCATCATTGCAGCCAAAATGCGATATGTGAACAAATGTTAAATATAATTTCTTTTAGAAACTGCTTTTACAAGCTCACCTTGAATCTTTGCTCAATTTTTTTCTGTGTTATCGTCCCTAAATTTGATGTTGCATTACTATATCAATGCATCGCTGGTCAAAATAGAACTTTTTTAAAAAATTAAAAGGTTTTGTTATATGCAGCATAATTTTTTTCCAATTTTGTTGTAAAATTAATCTTTCAAGACCCCCGATTTTTCAAAAGAAAGAACTTCAAATCCAGATGATACTCTTCACCAGTACAAATTACAATTGCTAACAGTGACCTTCCAATAACAGACACCTTCAAGCAATCGCAGAATATTTATCCTAAATTCCTTTCTTTGTTACCTAAATTGTTTGCAAATACCCTACAACAACGTCGCGTTTTTGCCATGGAGAGTGCCTCTAGCTCCCCCTCCCGATGTTTTGTGATTGCGAGACCCATTTTGACTTCTTTATTCGATCCCGTCGGTTTTATGAACAGAATTTTAATAATAATTGTTGCTATTTTTACTGTTTAGCGATCGAGATGGTGTTCAAGATGATCTTGATAACTGCCCATACGTGCCGAACAGTCAGCAACTGGATACAGATGGTGATGGTAAAGGTGAGTGTAGAATTTGTTCGATATCGAATCCTTACACCATCCTTAATCTCGGCTCTTAATGATTTTTTCAATCTCTCTATAAATGTCATATATTAAGTGTTCGTGGCGTAGAGTATAGAATTTTCATTAAGCCATCAATTAAATCTGCCTATTCCATAGCATTCAAGTAATAAATAGTTCAAACTTTAAATTCCTTTTTATGAAGGTAACAAATGTGATGACGATGATGACAATGATGGTATTGACGACACACGTGATAACTGCAGGCTTATACCAAACCCTGACCAATCGGATCTTGCAGGTAAGTAATTATAAGCATTGTCTTATTGTGTTTCACTCCGCAATTGTACCACCTAAATTGAATGCTAAAATTATTTCTTCTGTCAAAGATTGTCGTGTAGCCATTGCAATTTTGAGGGTTTAGAAGGGGGATACTGCTAGTCATTATTATAGGCCAAAAAGGGCACCGTCACTAGTCAAGATTTGTCATATAGTCAAGATTTTTGGTTCCAATAAATCAAAGTTTCTTTTTAGTATTGAACTCCTGGTTTTAATATTGTTTCTTAGTTTCATATATAAAAAAGTGAAATTCTTATGAGTTCATAATTGAATTGCAACATAAAATAGCCTGTCACAGGACGTCTATAAATTGTTATCCTCTATCATAGTAGAGCAGATTTTACTCTTAAAAGGGAATTTAAACGGACAAAAGAAAAAGTACTATCATTCATAAGCGAAATCATAGGGAATACGTATTACGTAACGAAAATTGGAAAATTTTCAAAAATCTCTTCCCCTAATATATAAAACGTTTGTGTTCATCCCCTCCCCCTATCTCTGACTACGTAATATGTAACAGTCTCCATATACAGGGGCGTAACTATCGGGAGGGTGTAGGGGGTGTATAAAACCTTCCAATACTTTATGAATTCGTCGGTAAATCTTCAGTTTGTCTACAAAATTCTTAGTCTGTCTGTGGAATCAACCATCGGTAGGTGAAATAGCACCTAGATTCTTCTCCATCTTCATCGGTAAATTTTTCTATTGATGACCCGCAACCCCCTAGTCTTGAAGGTCAACGATGCCACTGTCCAGATACAAAAGCCAACACATAGATAATTTGGTCTAGTTTCAACGATTATGATTAGAAAGCAAATGGGTGGTTGATTTTTGTCGTGGCTCTTAGTTGTTTTTGGGAAAAGCAAAAGTTCATCTTGGCTCTTTTTATCACCTGAAGACAGTACACATTTTTCTAGCATAAACGATTCTCTCTCAGCTAAAGTGCACGCAGTCAGGAAGTCGGAATATATATAAATATATGTGATACTTGAGATAATTCGCATTGGTCATGATAAAAAATATGATTAGTCTTTAGTCTAAGGTTTTACATAAAAATAGTCATTAGTCAGTTGGCAAGACAGTCTGTTAGTCATCTAGTCAAAACCCCTTTTACACCCCAAATTTTAGTAGATTTTTGATTTGATTTTACACGTCTCCACTGATACGGATCTGTTTTTATATTAATTATATTTTTCGTTTTTTCAAAACATTTAGTAAATGTACATTTTTATGCGGTAATGTGTATTAAATTCTTTGCCCACATATCAAGGCACTGGACAAGGTGATATTTGCAAAAATGACTACGATAAGGACAATGTGACTGACCTTAGAGATGCCTGCCCGGAAAACAACAACATCTATTCAACGAACTTCACCAAGTATCAAACAATCCGACTTGATCCTGAAGGAACATCGCAAGTTGATCCTCACTGGATGATTCTTGACAACGTAAGCCAAATGTGATTAAACTTGAAAAGAATGTAAAAACCATAACTGATCTGAGTTATTACCGAAGCAAAACCTGTCTGGTTTTCAAAACTCCCTTTTGATGCATTCAGTTACAGAGAAGCTTTATTATCTATTTTATGGTTATCCAGGCAAAGCATATTTAACAAAAAATGAATCCTCCTTAAAAAGTTACTTCAGAGTGGTAAATTTGTTGATATACGGTGCAACCCATAGAAAGTTTTCTACTGATAATGATTTTTTTTACAATTACCTTGCTTATTTATTAAACAATTGCTAAGGATCTTTAACTATTTTGTGAAATAAAGTAAAGACTCTTCCAACCAATTAGGCACTTTTTATTTGTAGTTATTATTGCCGAGCAGTGCTTCTGTAAAGTATAAGCATAGTCAGTTTTGTAAAATGTCATTTGTTGTTATGCTCAGGGTGCTGAAATAAGACAGTCAAGAAACAGTGACCCTGGAATCGCCGTTGGTATGCTCTCTATCCAGATTTTTTGTATTTTCAACCTCGCTTAGCATATTTCGCATTTCCGTATATTGTGACGTAATTTGTAAGGTACCCATCATAAAACTGGTTTATATTTTTCTTTTGAGGCTATACAAAGTTTGAAGGGGTAGATTTCGAGGGTACATTCTTTGTTCATGATGACAAGGACGATGACTACGTTGGCTTTGTGTTCAGTTTGCAAGATAGTAGCTCGTTTTATGCTGTTATTTGGAAGAAAACTAGACAGACATACTGGGTGCCTGATCCTTTTACTGCAGTTGGAGACGCAGGAATTACAATCAAGGCAAGAGAATTGTCTTTTTTTTTGTTTTATTAGCTACTGAGTTTTATCGTAGCTACCAACCATGCTTATGAAAATAATTAAATATTTTTTGTGTATGATGGATGCAATAATAAAGAATGGAATGAACTTCAAGATTCAGTTAAAAAAAATTTTCGTCTGGTATTATGAAACTTTTCTTAATCTGAGGACAAGCAAATTTAATTTAAAGGGTTTTGCGCATTGAGTTTTGAAATTCAGTCAAATATCTTGCGATTGACTCCGTCCCAACAGCTGCTCATAAATTACCAAATGTAGAATAAACGCATTGGTCAACAGGACAGTTCTTTCTTTCAACTGAGTTTCACGCTCAACTCCATCATCAACTGTCTTCTTTGAATGCAAGATAAAAATTTGAAACAATTGTAGAGAATAATTCTTTTCAAGGCGAAAATGAAATTTTCCCCATATATAGCTAACCTGTTCGTATTCGCAATGAGTTTGCAAAGTTTATTTTCACGATAATTAGATCTATTGTTTTTATTTACAGGCTGTCAAATCTTCAACGGGACCTGGAAAATATATGAGAAATGCTCTGTGGAGTTCCAAAAGTACCCGTGGCCAGGTTTGATTTGCTGTATATTTTAAAACTTGAAATTCCCATTAGTATTTCTTCATATCTCTGCTTAAGGCCAAAAACTTAAAGCCTCTCGCTGTGTTAATTCATGAAAGCTATAATCCACTAATTCAATTATAATCCACTAAGTTCCATATAAACCTTTTTATTGAATAACTTGAAATTATTTTTTCTGTGATGCAGCAAAAGCAAGTTTTTTAAGAGATATTTCACTACATCCAGCCCGTCATTTCTGGACTGAAAAGTTCTTATTATTCTTGTTCTCATTAGGTAACGACACTATGGGAAGATCCAAGGAAGGAAGGATGGAAACCAAAGACTGCTTATAGATGGTCACTTATTCACAGGCCATCAATTGGACTAATAAGGTCTGTGATATAACCTGATATCAAATTCATCATATCAAATGCTATTAGAAAGCATATTGTTTTGCACTTCTGTTTACACCCATGCTCAAATTGATATACTTCAGGAGAAGATCATTGCGCAGGCTACCTCGGTCTGATTGATGATATGTAGCTGTGACGTAAATACCATATAAGGGGTGCCGCAAGTTTATTGAAATGGACCAAAATCGTATTTTGTAAATATTGGCATGCCACGCTGGAGGACTTACGGGGTTTCATAAAATAATATACTTTTTTTTGCCATTTGAGCCACATTTAAGAAAATCGATTTGCCTTGAAGCCCTGAAGAAAAGCCTTGAAGATCCGGAAAATTACTCATTTTCTAACAGCTTGTTAGGTGATCTGATTTGTGTTTTCTGATATATTACCGGTTGTTTATTTGTTGTTTTTATAGCCTTTTGCGTGCATGTGTGAAGCGAATTTATGCGTAGAGCGGACAGCTGTCCCTCGACTGTCCCCCTTCCCTAGTCGGATTCTTTGAGACTTTGCAGCAGAAATACTAGCATTATGCAATTTTAAATAACGAACTTTAAGTCACTTTCTGGACGATTCTTACTACAGACTAGAGGCCTTTCTACAGAAAGATACGCCCAATCAAACTGTAATTACCGTATCTGCTGTCTAAATTTCCCTATGTGGCCCAGGCACCGCGGAGCAGGGGAGGGTTGGTAGGCTTAAGCCCCCCTACTTAATATTAAGTAATAAACTACCAGTAAAGCCTTTTTGTAATACCGTTTTGACCTGCCCATTTTTTAGAACCCCCAATTTTCTCAACGTTCTGCTGTGCCTGCTTTCAACGCACTCTTTCAAGATAAATTTGTTTTCAAACATATATTCCATTTCTGTTTGACATTATAGAGTGAAGATATCAGAAGGCTCGAGATTGGTCAGCGACTCAGGCTACTTGCTTGATCAGCAGTTTAGAGGCGGAAGATTGGGCGTGTTTATCTTCTCTCAAAAGCACGTTGTCTTTTCGAAGCTTTCATATAAATGCATTGGTAGGTGCACTCTATTATCAATATTATCGTTTTTTCAGAATTCTTTGTTAAAGATGAAAATTTAATGCCATATTGTCACCCAAATTCATGATGATGATGTACTTGTCCAGAAAAATGTATAAGTTCTAGATATAGGGGTAAATTTTGAGAAAATTAAAGCATGATCAAGTTCTGAGGTGCTTTTAATTCTCGCTTGCCGGTATTTTGATCTTTTAAGCTAAAATTTCCATGGAAGCTAGGGACAAACAAATTGGAAACATAAAATGAAGTTTAGATCTCTTTTTAACGATGCTAGTAGCTGTAAAATGAAGACTGAAATACCAGAAACTCTGCGATCGCCGCAGGATTTCTCGCATAAATACTTAATTGTGGTTCTATAAGACTAGGAAGTTTGTTCAAGATAAGTAAGTACTTTGAGAGATTTAGATAACAGGAGATAGAAACCCAAAACAATTAGTGTTCTAGATTTATCAGCTTTTATTACGTATGCACATGGGCGTAGGAAACATCGGGGCTAGTGGCAAGATTAATACTAAGCTCCCTAAACGTTTAGCATCTGCTACGCCCTAAAGAGCATTATAAATTTTTCAAATGCCTTACTGTTACGTCACTCGCCTAAAAATCAATTCAAGATACTATTCAATGATTTCATGAGTTACACATTGTTTGATGAAGAAAGTGCTGCGAAATATCGTATCAAAGAAGCTTAAAAAGCTTTATCTCAATAAATTAATCAAACTTCTATTTAGCATTTGCACAATAATGTCATTTTGATAATACTTTATATTAGGAATCTTCAAGATTGATTTTTTTCTGGAAATACGTTAGAATAAATTTCGTTCAAATGTTAGAATGCCATTCAGAAGACGTAGAATGAGCAATTTTAAATTCATATCTCATCATTTAAATGGAACTGTAAAGGTTTAAGTTTTCTTCGGTGTCGGCACTATAAATTCGAGGACACGAATGTTTATTGTGGTAGGAAAAATAAACCTTCAATGTTGATGTTTGTCTAGTAATGTATTTTGTATTGCAGATGATATACCATCTGACTACAATCCAGAACTTCCAAAGTGAAAGCATAAAGTCGACGATGGTGAATTGGCTTCCTTGGGATTTTGATTTCATGTAGATATGCTATTACCAGCTGCAAGAACTTTCAAGAGATGCATTGTATTCTCCAAGTTTAAAAAGGACTGAATTTGTATTGAACGAGTTTTTCTGTAAGTATCGTATGTATCGCTAATAAAAGGAAATAAATTGTAAAAATGCTATTTTTAGAGAAACGATTTTTACTCAGTGTCGCGTTCTACTTAGAAATACTGTATTCGTTTCATAACAGCACTGACTATGAAGAGGATCTTTTAGTTAATTTACTCAAAGCAAGATTTCGATGTCACAACACTGATTTAGCTGCTATAGTTTGTTTGAAAATTTCACCAGCATCGTTCTTGTCAAGCTATTTAGATCAATGAGCCTTCAATAGATCTAACACGAAAAGTAATATGACTGGATTAATTCAATGACTAGTCTGTTACACCTTTAAATTAACATTTAGATCTTTACCTTTTATCAATTCAGAAGCATAGAATAGAATAGCTTGTTTGCAAAGATGCTATCACTTGTTGACTCAACCTTGATAGCAAAATAGTTGAGACTGTTTGCATCAAACAACCTTGTAGTCAAGCGGGCCATCATTTTTTAATATCCAAGGATTTGACGAAAGAGCTAGACTCTCTTACTTACTTAGACTTGGCTTTCGGGTAGTTATTCGCAAGGATGATAACAATCTCTTTTGGGTAATTAGGCCTACAGTTATTTAATGGTCATTGATTTTAATTTCCTATAAACTTTGTATTCAAAACATTTTCACCAGAAAGTACGATATAAAGCTTTCTTGCAGCGCAGTTAACTTATTATGTTGCAGCCAGAGACTCAAAAGCTTTATTTTTAAATCGTTGTCATTAAAATCGAACTCTTCGTTGGAGATTTTTTTTCAAAGGAATTGGTAATTGCTTAACGTGATTTGATAAATAAACTCTTTGATATTGAAAGTTGTCTGTCATTTTTTAAATCCATGTTTGTCAAACAAGGAACTGCGTTTAAAGGGTGATAATAGATTTGAAACCAAAATTAGTTTCGTATTTTTCAAATTAAATTTAAGGTCGTGATCGTTAAAATAGAATCTGACTCATTATGCCGTCATGAAGTCTTTGAACTTTTATTGAAGTGTCAGAATCACTATCCATAACAACGCTTTTCATTTTACCGGATGGTCTAACCATGACATGTTCTCGTGTCGCTAATGGAAAGACTTCTCCCTTAGAGAGTTTTTTGAAAAGATGTGCTTTGTTCTAAAAATCAAATTCTAAAATTAAACTGAAATTGCAAAGTTAAAAGGCGCCATGTTTCGATGCACGATACGTTTTGATAAAAGCATTTTTTTATTGTTTACAGTCAGAGATATTGAAAATTTCATCAATTCAAACACACATTTACATGACCAAAATGAACTAATTGGACTGAACCGGACAGGACTTGACCGGATTTGACCAGACTTGATCGGACCACAGAAGCGCGCAGGTTAAGATTGTACCATAGAGATAGAATATGAAAGAATAAGAGTGCCAAACTTTTTTTAACTGGACTTGACTCAGATATCGTAAGAAAAAGCTCTGCTTACCGGTTTGTCTTGGATCCACTACACTCTTTTTTTATAAGAACCAGTAAATTTAAGCTCAGACTGACTGTTTGACTTTCGAAAATTTGGGTCTGGATTGTTCTTAATTTGTTCTCAAATTAAGAGGATGTAAGCAGTGCTATTGCTAGCTTTTTCGCTCTGAAAAGGTGTTGAGACCTCATTTGTCAACAAAGTGAGTGAAACAGCCTTAATTTGCTGACAAATTTGAATATTCACCGAAAAAGCAACCACACATCGCCGAAAATCCTCGATTTTGAGAAAAAACGTTCTTCAAAACTGCATTATGCAGAAGTTCAGCTTGTTCTTAATTTGTTCTTAAATTTTGACCAGTTTTGAGGCTCGTGTTCTTATAAAACTGTTCTTATGATAAAAAAAGAGTGCAGTTGATTAAAAGGGACAAGCTACCCAGGGTTCCAAATCGTCAAGTGGCTGGATCATAGGGTAGGGACAAGCATGTCCACCCATTCTAGAGGAAATTGCTACTCTAAAGCGAAAATTGCTTTTGACAATATCGTTAGCTGTAAGATTCTAATTGCAAATAATATTTAGGACCTGAAAATACAAAGAAAGCAAACAACTTTTAAGGGCTTTAAACTTCGTATTATCATTTGCGAGCCCTTGACTATTCAGGAAGGAATATTTTAAGCACACTATAACCAACGGACAGGAAGATCCCAATCGCCATAAATCAAAGAACACAAAAAGTAAGTTACTGCCACTGCTTGAAGAAGTTGACAACCAACTGCCCTGCAGGGATTTGTTCATGATTTTCCCTAGAGCTCAATTGCACGAAAACAAGCAATCCTTTTGTGCATTATAGTAACGCATGGGAATGGGTCAGTCTGAGTCCATTATTATCTTGATCTGAATCCTATCCGTTTTAAAATACTTCGCGTGGTATGCATTTGCACAGGAACTCATTTATACCTGCTTGAACCAAAGGAGCATCAGTGTTACTGTAAAAAAAGAGTCAGGAAAACATGTTGTCGAATAGATTACAGTAGAAACGATGGTAGAACGTGAAAACCAACAAAAAATGTCCAGTTAGACAGAGGTAGATATCACATTGCTGAAATTCTGCTTGATTACCTCTCTAGAAACTGATGGGTGATCTAGAAAATCTAGAAACCAGTAGTGATTTTCTTATTCATCCATTGCGCTGTTCTAAAATCATCTAAGTTCTCAATATTTACTTTATGAACATGCGACAGCCGGTTCTGGTTTTCTTTTTCTTAAGATACGAACAACAAGGATTATAATCGGAAGATAAAAAATAATGACTAAATTTTCTAAATTAAGATCCTTGAAACTGTTTTACCCTTTTGCAGCGTACAGTGTCAGTGAACTAGCGCTAATTGAAGGTAGGAGCATCTCGAAGAAATTCTTTGCAGGTAATTTTAGTGTCTCGAAAATACTTCTAGTCGTTTAATTAAAGTTAACCCAGAGAAAGAAACATCTATAAATTTCTTTGCACACAAGATCCCCAACTCAGGCTTACAATAAGGTTATCAAAAGAGTCATTGGCAAAAGTCCCAGAGTTCCTATTGTATTGTCCTAAACACAATGTGTATTAATATATACTACAGTAGTGCGTCAGGAAAAGTTCACTTGTCCCCACCGTTGCACAAGCCCAACCTACCGTACCTAAAGTATGAGAGGGGAAGGAAAGAAGATAGGGGGAGAAAAAGTGTCACTAAAAGCATTATGTCTGTCAATGTGAAAAAAATTAAATTTTCATGATCAGCAAAGAACTTAATCAGCAAAGATTTTCTTATAAAAGCTTCTTAAAGAATCAGCTGTTTTCAAATTTCTGATTTTAAATCCACTGGGATAGTCTTTGGTGTCTTTGATGAACTGTGCCATTCCAAATAATGAATTTTCTTTACTTAGTTGCGAAATTGGTACGGATTTTTATCTCTCTTTACTGTCTGTCCATCGTAAGTAAGAATTAAGTTGGAAAACCCAGTCATTATTCATTCTACGCAATTTCAAACTTTTTAACAAAGATCCAGATGGTCGGTCTTGAGGTCTATACGTGCATTTTGATGTTATAAAAGTAAGCGAAGGGGGAAATTTTTCAACTACTTTAATGTGGAGGTGGGGGAATGGGATGGAGAAGAAATAAAAAGTTAGTAGCGACGCTTTGTATGAAGAATCATTTTGATAGTTATCGACATCAAGTTAAACTTATCACTACAGCTTCAAATACCATGATGTAAAAACATGCCTTCTAAAAGTTTCAAGAGGAAAAAGAGGGTTGGTCGAATACTCTTACCACGATTTACTACATGTAAAACTTTGAAAAACTGAAAGTAGAGATAGGAAATTTTTGTCGTTGTTCCGGAAAAGCTTTTGCATGCAGTAAATCACCAAGTTGGTGTTATATAGTATGGCATCTACACGTTACTGTCAGTTCTTGAGACGCTTCCTATTAGTTTCCGTATTTAAATTTATCCGGGAAATAAATGGTTTCTCCTGGGGAGGGTCTTTCCTGGCATTTCTATATGAGTCGTCTCGGTCAATCGAGAATGAATTACTCGTGTAAAATGTTCAGGAATGACATAATTCGTGATGGTTTTAAAATGGGAATTAATCGTTTATTTCGAGTTAATACCCGCGGGGAAACTGCGCAGATTCCCCTTTTCTAGAATCGGGTGGTCCCCCACGTATATCCTTAGTAGACTGTGGATATCATGTTACCTTAGCTATTTGCTAACCACCTTCTAGTATTTTCTAGGTGGTCTTTTCCTGGCATATTTGTTTAAGTACAGTGATGCAGCTAGGGTCATGTCATATTTTGCAGCAAGACTCACGCGTTGTTTGTTCGCGTTTCCTCCTCCCATCCCTGTCCCCTTGTACTCGTTTCTCGTTCTGCCGTTATCCCGTTACATACTTCCTTCTGCCTTCTCCTGTCTCACTTCTTCCCACACAGTCATTCGATTGTGTGACAGGTATATCAGTCTGATTATCGGGGTAAAAAACTGAGGCAGTTTTTTCCCTGGAATCAAACACCGACCATAAAATTGTGTCATTGTTCAGGCAAGACAAGGGCTGATGCACCAAAAGCCCAACATGTTTTTCCTGAGATTAGGGTGTTGTTTATCATAACTAAGGGGCCCCCGCGATGGAATTAATTGTATCGTAACATTTAATTTTAAGAGAAGCAACTAAGACAAATATAAAGATCAAAAGCCCAGGGGGTCACTTGAAATTTTCACATACAGGGGGGTCCATCTGATAATTATGGTTAAGAATTTTCTTTGTGATCTGATTCTTTTGGGTACATGATCTAACAATATACCTTATTTATACTTATAGGTCCAGCTAACACATAACAATATCAAAAAAAATTTAAAAGACCAGATGTATTTATACTGATTATTACAGGAAACAGGCTAAATTACTATGACTAGTGTCTCTTATGTGCTCAACAGCAAGATTTTGTATTTTGATACTTCTGGGTCTTACCAACACTTTTTAGCTGATAATTTTAGGCTTGTAAAATTTTTACTCGATTTTTTAGGTGAGTTTTGATAATTGCGGATGGACAATGCCTGCCAAAAGTACTTGGAACACCCACCAATTTACGTTGCATTTGATATCTTTCAATCCTTTCATGGAAAAAAATTACTACTTCCGCCCCCTTCCCCCTAAAACAATGTTGATAATTTAGAGGAATGTCATAAAAGAAGCGCAAAAGAAAGTGCTTCCTAAAATCCTAACCCGTTTGATAGTAAACCAACATTGTTCTGTAGGGGAGAGCAGTGGTGGCGCCAGGGGAGGGCTAGGGGGCTACAGCCCCTCCGTCGGAAGCATCTAGCCCCATCGGAGGAAATTTTAGGTTATTGTCGGAGCAAATTTGACAAAATAGCGTACGAAACTGCTTATTTTAGTCGTTTTAGCCCCCCTGTCGGAAGCTCCAGCCCCTCTGTCGGAAGATTTCTGGCGCCACCTCTGGGGGAGAGGGGAATGATTGATTTTTACCTTGGAAATTGATGCCAGTGTTCCAATACTTTTTGGCGGGCATTGGACCTTCCCGTATAAAATTTTTGAGTGACTCCCCTGGTATCAAAACAGTAAATGATTTACATATCCCGGGCACTTTGAAAATTTTGCGAATTCGGAATCTTCTATCAAATGGTTTTTTTAATGATTTGCTGATATCAACAATCGGTTGGTCTAGCTGCGCTAGTGAACGACATTCGAAACTGCGAGCAAATGACTATCGGAAATGGCGCAAGAAAATTTAATCACTAGAATTGAGTGATGATAAAAGAAGTATTTCTTTTTGCTTTTGACATACCTTCTGTCGTACAAACCTGGTTGAGCACAATAATGAACAGAGTGCCTGCACCAAAACGAGAAAACACAAACGATAGCGATTAAAAGATAATGAACAAAATTTGCATTTAGATTTGATTTTAAGTCTCAATCATACTGTTTGAATAATCAAGTATTTTTCTATAAATATTAATAAATCAGATTAAATTGAAATAATTTTAAACTAGATTGATATCAGGATTCGAATTTAAACTATGAATTAAAAGCCAGGTGCTTCTGTTTTTAGCTACTGAATCTCTACGAAAATGAACAAACATCATAAAACTGGGAAAACGGGAATGAAAAACAGGACTGAAGCTTATTTTGACCGAATTGGTCTTATGTGTGCTCGACAAGTGTTTACTGAAGGCTTTTCTTACTGCTTCTAAGACTTGTGTGCGAATGTAGTTATCATTTTTCAAAGTAGCATATAATTTACCTTGCTTACTATAAATGTAGATATTTTTACAGTTTTGTTTCGCAATAATTTGGAAAGAACACTGGAAGGTTATTTCTTATAATCATCTTGTTAATGATAATGAAGCATATTTAAAAATGTTGCAAAGGTATATCAATTCAGAGGCAGGTTTTATTAAACACTAAATTCTCAGAAAACATTTTCATTCTTGAACCGCACGTTCATAAATCAACATTCTTAAAAGAACAATGGTAAGTGCGAATATTTCACTGTATTTGTTTATTTTGATGTTATTATGGAATGACATTATAAATAATAATCAATAATTATTATATAAATATAATACTTTTTTAATTTAAAAAAAGTTATATTTGATGTTCGTTATTGCAAAAATCCAATAACATTGTTCTTGTCAATGTTTGCTAGCAAAAGCTGATTTTAACTAGCTAAACCCTCATTTGGTTCAACTAAAATGTATGACGTCATCAAGCAGTTTCAGATGTTGACCACACTCATTTTTTTATAACAAAACAAAGGTCGATGTCGAGTACTCAAGTTTCTTAATGTTCTGGAAATTTCAATACTCATTGTTTCTTAAGAGTTTTTTAATTATAATTATGAAATGTTCGTGACCTTTTTTATCACGTCAAGAGATTTGCTTCCGTATATCTTTATCCCTTGTGTCTTAAGTTCTAGACCAACAGGGCAACCTTGTTCTTGGTATTTACAAAATTTCGTTGTTCTCAGTTTTATCACAATTTAATAGTTTCTTAATATTTCTTAATAAGCTTCTCAATTATTTCTGACTGTCCAGTACTCGTTTCTTATAGCCAGTTTCTTATAAAACAAATGAGCGTTTGCTGAGATGTAGCTGTCCCAATAGATCCCTATGTCTAGCCTTATGTCTTTATGATAAACTTATGTCTTTATCGTAGACCTGCCATCGAAAAGTAAATAAATTTTTCAAAGCATTCTAAAGAATGCTATAGCCCTGTTTACACTATACAAGCGAAACTGGGTTGAACCTGGGTAGAGTGAGCCCAGGTGTGATTTTTTGTAGTGTAAACACAAAGTTACCTAGGTTGAACCCAGGTACATGAAACCCACTTTCCCTTAAATTGAACAGAGTTTATTTACCCTGGGAGAACTCAAGCTAGGTTGAACCCGGACCCGGGTAGCTTTTGTAGTGTAAACCGGTCTTAAGTTGAATTTCTGAATTAATAAAGCCCCCTGAATGACTGCTTTCTTTTCCTGTCACTAAAGTGAAACTGCCAATACGGAAGACGGGACTTATCAAGAGGACTTTTGTTAACTTGAGCAGGAGGTTTGTGAAGAATGTAAAGCTCATTTATATCCAAGTGCAAACGAATAGTATTGATGTCAAAGAGTGCACAGCACAAGACATGGATTAAAGACAAGAGTTTCTTGAAAATGCGGTCATTTTATCTATCTCCTGTCTTTATCGTAAATTGGTAAACCAGCTTGTTTGTTCGCCTTACATTTCAAGGAATAGCCTTTAACAAGCGTTACTGCGTTGGTAGACGCTTTTATTGCTACACAGGCTGCGTAATGATTACAAAACTCTGGACAGTGATCGCCCTGGTGTGGGCCGTCATAGCAATTGTCTGGGCCATTGACGATCCTCATCTCCGATTTTACTTGGGAGACCTGCATAGGTAAGTATATATATATTTGTATTTTGTTAAAAAACGCCAATTTTGCTTTTGATACCATTTGATAAAAATATTCACCATCGGAAGGGGTATTAAATAACTAGCAAGTTTGTTACTTTCCCCAATATCGCGTCTGCAAACAAATCTCATTTTTGAATTGGTCTTACTAATATGAATGTTGTAGCGATCCTGTACCTGATTTATTTGTTTGGGTTTTCAAAATTTGACTGATCAGTTTTCTAAAAGAAAAGGCATTTGAAGGTTCTTTCAGAAAAATGCAAGTATATTTGCGTTTTGTTTCTTAACCCTGATAAAACTTGAACATATCTGGATTTCGATGTTTCATTATGAATTTGTTATAAAACATTTCCATTTCTCGCCAACACTCGTTACATGCAGCATTTATACTTCACTTTATTTGGAAGATAAGCTTTTCTTATCGCGAAAATAGTAGGAAAACAAAAATTAGCGGCACAAGCAGGAGTTAAAAGGAAAATTTTGGGAGCGTTGTGCGATTAAAGAGCAAGAAGTGATACCAGGTATTCTACACAAGCGATAGATTATAATTATCAGTTATCGTTAGATAATTATCAATAAAGAACGTAGCGCAAGCATGTACTTCAGTTGTTTACAAGGAGTAGTGGACAGGTAGGGGACAAAGTAAGGAGCAATGGAATGGCAGGCACATAGCCAGCATTGATTACTGTGATTTATGGTGTTGGACGTAACAGTGTATGGAACTGGGCAAAAGCCAGTGCAAAAAAGACCATTCAACTAAATGGATGCTGCTTAAATACTCCAGGTCTTAAACAAACATAAGCTCTTGGCTTTCTATCCATAGGAATCATTTAAACATTTTGAAGAGATTATAGTAGACACCATTTTGTTGCAAAGACAATGGCCTTATTTGTCAGAATTTTCTTGTTGATAAGAGGCCTTGCACGGTATTTTGATTAGATACTGAATCAACACCAGGATTTTGTAAGGTAGAATTTCGCTGTTTCAAAGAATCTAATTTCATAGAAACGAGATTATTGCTCAAATTGTGCTTGGGAATGTTTCGTGGATATGGAGATATACGGGTGCACAGATAAGGTAAAGTCAATTTCGCAGCTCACGAAGTTGTCCCTGTGCCTACATATGCACCCAAAATTTTAAATACTTTCTTCGTTTCTCAGATGTATTTATAATTAAACGATGCCTGGTATATCCGACGGCTTCCATCTAGACATCAGCCAACAAAATTTCTATCGCCGCCTTTTTTAATCCAAATTACTGATGAAAATTATTCAAACAAGAAATATATATTTACGAACAGGCAGATGATTGTAAATTTATCAATTTTTTTCTTTGATTTAAAACTTGGTTCCTGCCTTTTTGTAATTGTCGTCAACTAGGTTGAATTTAGCTAGAATTGGGGATGATGGCTGAGAATTATGACATCGAGTCATACTGTCTAAGGGTGATTCATTAACCTAATCCTATGTTTAGAAAGCCTTAAGAAATCATTCAGGTCAACTATTACATTTAATATTATTCTGAAAAATTAAGGCTAATTTGATTTTCGTTGCTTTAACGTTCCAAAGACCTTTACCTTAACTAGTTGGCGTAGCATGAGCTTCACCCAGTCACGGGAGGTGGAGGGTCATGAGAAGTAAAATTTACCGACGAAGTCATGATAAAGAGAAATTTAGATGCTATTTCACCTAACGATAGACGATCTTACCGAAAAAACAAGGAATTCCATCAACTAAAAATTTACCGACAAACTCTCATTGGAAAAGTAATTCACGTTGAAACATCAAAAAACTGCCTTGAAATACTTTGTCAAAGTACAGACTGTTTCTTTTTAGAAAAAATACGTCATTTTTTCTTTTTAAGAAGGAATACGTTCATTGTCAACTTTTTCGATATGCCCTAGCTAATTATCAATTTCACAGATTGAAACGGTTCTATTGATAAACGGTTTCCTCTAGCTGCTACGTTAGTCGTACAGAATGTCAGAACGGAGTTAGGCGTGCCTGGTAAAAACCACGGTCTCAAAGGAATTTCCCCTTTCAATTTTCTTCACTCTCCTTTGGATACAGCTTGATTTTCGATACCATTTCTTCTTTGCTTGTGAATTGTCAAGGAACGAAAAGTCTTAATCATGCAGACAAATTTCAAGGTTAAAGAATATGTTGAAGAATATTCGTTATTTATTACCAGACAACAATGGCTGTATTTAGCTTCAGCTGATTGCTTAAAGCCCTAATCATAATCAGTATGTCATCGAGCGATTGGTTTTTAGCGTGGCACAGTTAATGATCAGGAATTTTCAAAACAATTATTTTGGTTACTCGGATGTTTTATCCATCTTAGCAAAAATAGTTTCAGTAACCTGGGCCCTTAGGATAAGCCATATATGATATACCAGCGAGCCTCTTTCAAGTTTCAGTTCCGTACGTCACTATGCTTTTAAAGCATCTGTTGCCGACTATGATTCGCTAAAATCCGTGAAAGATTATGAAGTAAACAAAAGTATTAGCATCATAGCATTAAACAAACTATGCAAATCCCTTGCTTTCATTGAAATTTGAAATGCTTAATGAGTCTTCAAGTTCTGTTTGTCATTATTAATAGGTAATTTGTTTAATTCCTATGCTTAAGTTCGCGTCCATCATATTTCAATATACCAAATATCACAAACATTAATGCAAGGTGTCCGATAGTAAATAGCTATACAAGTCTCAATACATGCAAGTTAATTCTAGTAGACTGATAGCTGACCTAATAATCTGAGCCCAGAGAACCAATACTTTCAAGTTCTGGATAGCTGGAAGATCGTCAACCAATATTCTTTCAATTAATATACTAGCATGCACGCATCTCTTTTTTGTTGATTATTTAGTTTGTAATCATTTGAAGTCTGAAGCCATGGTAGTTCAATGACTTGACTAGTTCGTGTTTTTATTTTTGACCAATTAAACTAATGTTTGCACTTAATACTCGTTCCTTAGCTAGATTCCCTGCAAGTAGAAATTTTAAAATTATGTCTTTTGTTCCTACGGTATAAAGCAACAAAAAATTCCCAAATTACAACCTTCACTAAATAACAAGCATGCTTTTTAACTTTATTTGTAATAATATAGTTTAGGTATTATATCTATTACAACAGATATATTTCCCACGACTTACCGGAAAATCATTAGCTTGTGTACCGTGACAATGGTTGGAAATTTTTGCCACTGTTGCTCGATGTATGAGCTTCTCTTAGATTTTGTAATCCTAAAAAAATTTCTCATTAGGCATGAATATCACTACATATTTTTAGCAAAAATTTGCTGTATCTGAATCCTTTCTTTTTTGACTTTTAGGCATTTTTAATTCTTTATGTTGAATCATTCTCGTTTCAAAAAATAATATTTATCAATTCTTGGAGTATAAAGGTATCTGTAACATTTGAGATTTTGGATCAAGTAAAAATTGTTTACCTAACCCTATTGCCTGGAAAGAAAATAAATATAACATTTTCTATTCATTCAGATGATTTTTGAAATATTTTTTTGCCAAAGAGTCAGAAAAAATATGAGTCTTTTTCCACTTATTTGCGTATCGTGAGCATCCTAACTTGGGCGAGGCTGTTAAAAGGAAAATCTACCAGTAAATATCCAACGTCCCTTCCCTCCACTAGCTTACAGGTCCAGCCTGACCCGACTGCAGTGTGACCAGATCTAGCATAATATAATGCTTTCAGCACAATATTGACCAAAAATCGTCATTTAGCATAAAATCTAGCATAATTTGGAATCTAGCTTAACTGTGGCATAATTTTGATAGTTTTTAAAAAATCGCTGTTTCCATTAATCTGTTGTCTATCACCACCAAATGGAAACACTAGAATGTGTGACTTTCCACTTTCAGGGTTTAGCCAGGTGTTTGGAACGGTTGGTAGCCAAATATTTTATGGTTGGCAGCCAAATTCAGCCAGCTAAATTCAGTACACGAAAAAGCTAAATTTTTTCAATTGCGGGGAGTGATAGTGTAATCAAAATTTGCTTTGTAGGTTACAAAGCTTTCATTTACTTTAATCTTACATTGTCTGTTATCTTTTACGTTGTTTCATGTTTCTTTATTTGCAAATTTGAAATCATTCTAAAACAAATTTGAATATCATCTATGTAAAAAATTTATTTTCCTTTGCATTTTTTGTGATTTTTTGCAACATGCTGCCAGAATTCTGCCAACTTTTGCTTCTTCGGCCAGATCAATTTATGACGTCCAAGGGGTTAAGAAATTTGGATGTCAAAACCATTAATCTAAATTGCCTTTTTGTGTAGAAAAGATGGTAATTTTGAGTACACTGTGTTTTAGATTGGGGTTCAAAAAGGCCAAATGGAAACTTTGGTCACTTTTGATATTCTGAGCATCCTCTAGCCTCTTTCACAAGCAGGGGTGCTTTGATTTGAAATTTAGCATAATTTTTGCAAATCTAGCATTATTTTATGACAAATTTGGCATAATTTCAAAATTGAGATCTGGTCACACTGCCCGACTGGTACCACCTGGCAGGGTCCCTAGCCCTGGGCTACGAGCGATGGCCAACGGCTAACTCGGCGGGAGACCGGCAAGGAGGGCGGATGAGCTACGAATCCAGGGGTCAACGGCTTCGGGCGACTCCTGGAGAAGAACTCCTGGAAAGAGGGATGGTGTCCCTTTAAAAACACTGTAGAGGTGGTTCTGGGGGCCCATCTCTACTATAAGCCCCTTAGTTTTATCTATTACCATGACAACAAACCAAAACTCAGATTTTGGAATAGTTGGAGGGTCATGGTAGCCAACCTTCTGATAGAAGATGGTACCTGATGATGATGAAATATCCAACCAACGCTTACAATGAAGAATCCCTCAACTCATTCTACGAAAAATAAACTACAAGGCACGGAATCAATGAAAATGAGCAATAAAATTTTAAAAGTACGGGTGCCCTGTCCTGCTCTGTTTTAAAACTAAATGCTTATTTATCTTTGGATAATTCAGCTCTTAACTTCTTTAAATTGTTTGTTATTCAATAGAAAAGGGAAATTTCATTGGTACTCTGGGGATTAGCGCATTGATTGAAACTATCACTTTCAATTAAAGAGTTCTGCGCTTTGTAATGGTATGCGCAAGTTCTTTGCAAAATTCTACTTTCAAGCAGCATAGCACCAACTCGCAAAGAACAAAATATTTTATTTTTTCTGGCAGATATCAGACGAAGTACGATATCACCAAAGTTAAAAGTTCCACCGAGTTAGCTAAATAGTCTAAAAAATACTTTTTTCTCGTAGGAACAGATCAAACTACGTTTTCACTGCACCAGAGGTTCTGCATCCAGGAAAAGTGGCAACTATTGGTGTTTTTGTGTCAAATTTGAAGACTGATGTACTCATTCACGTTTACCTAGTGACCTGGCACGGGGAAAAAGTTCTAGCAAGTGCAGAAAAATATGTCTCGATATCTGATTCAGGTAGCGTGTATTGTCGAATTGATGTGTCGAAAAATGACGAAAAATGATTGAGACTTTTTCTCGTGGAGTTTGTATTAAAGTCTTTCATCGCACAGCGATACCTGACAAACGTTCCAATGTATGACCTGTTACAAAACTGACTACCTTAATCACTTACTCTGCCTTGCTTTGAATAGCAGGTAACTTTGCTTTACATAAGCCTAATCCAATCTAACAGTATGTTTCTTCCCAATTCTCTCTCTCTTAATACGTTTTTTATGTTTAAGTGTTATTGAAGTTTTTTTGCATATGTCGTCAGTCCTCTCAAAAGCCAACAATAAAGGGTCTTTTGAAGATCCAATTTACAGTAATCTAATGACATGTTTTAAACAACTATTGTTTCGATATTTTGACATTTAATTTTTCTCTCGTGATTGTTTTAGCTAACAAATGAGAAAGATATCAACTTATGGAACTGGAGTTAGAAGTCTTTCAAGCTAGAAAACATGTCAACAGATTTTAATCAACTAGCCAATTTAATAAGAATTCTGGCTTGAATAAAAGGATTGAAAATTTATTACACTTATCTTTCTCCTACCAGGAAAGCCATACCTTTTAAAGCTCTGGGTACGTTATTTCACTTTTGATTTTTGCTAGCATGCAATAACCTGCTCGATATTGACTTTACTCTATGTTAACCCTTCTTTTTTGTGAGGTGACATGGTTGGCGGATGAGCTTACAAAAGCAATTTTCACACAACCCCAGAAATAGAATATGTCTTTAAAATTCCTACCTTTATTTTTTAAAAATGAAGTTAGAAAGATCGTTAAAATCTCTTTTTGCCGGCTGAGAATTCAGTAAATCCATTGAAATAAGATGCTGTTGTAATATTTAACTACAGAGTTTATTGATAGTCAGGATATTACAGTTAACATTTATAGTGTTGGTTTCTCCGGTTTTGTTTTACATAATACATTATACATGAAATAAACTTGATCTTGGAATCCAGGCTTGTTATTGGTATATCACACTTTAAATTTTTTGTCTTAGGTTCCCAGTATGGTGAAAAATGAGTACGCTCTACTTGTTATTAGTATGCTGCAACATCCTTACCGGGAAGAGAGAAAGGTTGTGAGAATAATGAAAGAAAAGCCAGATATAATGTTAAGTACAGACAAAGCTTACTACCAGCTTGGAGAAAACGGTATCGAATTTTTAATGTAATTTCTCGATATATATTGTCATATATTTATAAAAAAGTGCTTCTACTTTAGTAGACATTATTCCCCACATAACGTGACTTGCAAAGGGCAATTCACTCTTGCAAATAGCGTAAGAGATTTCCACGAAAACAATAGGATTTCCATGAAATTATTAACGAAACAGTAGAAGTTCTATCCTTTGAGTACGATATCAAAGAAATACTGCAAAAGAATTGCGCATGGAAGTTTGGAGACGCTTAATTCTCTACTGTTCTTGCCTTTTGAAATACGATTGTCTTCGGGTATTAGAAATTGTAACCAGTTAAAAACTCTTTTTTTCGAGATGCATGCTTACAGTGATTAGTTTAGATTGTATCAAAACAGAAAAAGTCTATTTAGAATACCTGAATATAAGAGGCTTCTACCAAAAGAATTTTCGATGTATTGTAAGCAAAATGTAATGCTTTGTGATGTCTTCAATGTTCCTGAAAAAATCTTATGTTTAATGATCCTTAATTAAATAACGTACATGTCTTGTCGGTTTTTGTGCACAGAAGCAAAGCTCAAGATTAGTGGCTTATCTTATATTTGTTGCTTCAGATGGTTGTCATAAAGCAAGCATCCCACAAGCGTTCGGGATGCAGGCGATTTGAAACTGTTAATTAGGATCATTATATCTTAGTTGAATTGTGGGTGTTTGCGTTGGATCATCACCGAATGCCATACGAAGGACAGGCAAGTTTCTATTGATCTATTTTGCATTTGTTTGGATAATTAAGGCAACATGTGATTTTTGAGCATGCAATAATTGCCAATTTTATGTTGATCATGTCCTTACTCTCTTGCAAAGCCAACAAATTTACATTTCCCTCAACTGAAAAATTTTTAAAACACAAAAATGTTTCTTCTACAAGCTTTTCTAAGCAGATCAAAAGGTGTTGACTTGTAAGCTTAATGTCAACAAAACCTTTCCTGTTTTTAAATGAATTCTATTTAGCAGAGTTTTACGGCATTGTGCCATACAAGCCGATGATCGACTGCGCTCCTTCTTCTTGAGTATCGAATTATTCAGCTAGAATTGCAACATACTGCTGCTACTTCACATGTTTTGCATCGGAGTACCTTTCCTGTCACCGAATAAATATGGACCAAATGCATCTTTCGCTCTAGTATTTTTGCAAGCAAGAAACTTTAAACGAAAATGAGAACGAAACCAAAAAGAAAAGCAAACACGGCCAGGATTTAATGAAAACATGAAGAATATAAGTTTTGTGAAGAATATAAGTTTTGGGAAGAATATAAATTAATATGAAGAATTCAAGTTTTAACTCTTTCAGTTGCTTTATAAAGAGAGGTTTTATCTTTCAAATACATGGTTTATTTGTGTTTACAAAAATTCTGTAGAATGTACATAGGCATATCTTTGAAATTGGTTATAACATTATTCTTATATCAATTCTTTGTTATATAAAAACTATCAATTTCTTTTTACTAGCTAGAGGGGACGAGTTTTTAACCAAAAAAATTTAAATATGCGATTGAATTTGGTGTATATCTCCTTTTTCTTAAAGACTACTGACTTACTTTGGCAGCCATTTGAAACATTTTCTACATGGTGATCTAGTAATTAGGTTATTGATATTGTGATTCTGTGGCGGGAGCCATGTTTTCTAGGCCTCTACTTTAATGCCAGAGAACCCTGGGTACCAGACTCAATAGAGTAACGCAAGATAATCTGCGGGCCAAAAGAATTTAAAATCTTCTCGTCTTTTTCAGATTCAAAAAGCTATGCTGATGGTGAGCATGAAAGCATTTAAATGATTCCTAATTAATTATAATTGAGCATTTAAAATATTTATTTGATCAAAACTATAGAATTACTTTTTTATTTCAATGCCGAAAACTGACTTTATTAGACAGGACTTCCTTTTCTCTGTTATGTAGAATATAAGCTTTAACTCTTTCAGTTGCTTCATAAGGAGAGGTTTGATCTTTCAATTACATGGTTTTTTTGTTTTCTGTAAAGTGTACAAAGGCATTTCTTTGAAATTTGTTGGAACATTATTCTTTATCAATTCTTTGTTATATAATAAATTGTAAACTGCTTTTTACTTAGGACCTTGATATGGGCGAGCTGTATGATTTAATTGAAAATATTCCCTTAAAGAGAGGTAAGAACTTTCTATTTTAAGATTAACAGTCACTATTTTATTTTAATGGAGAATTTTCAAAAAGTGCTAATCGATAATTTTTCAAAAGTGCTTATTCCCTAGGAATTTATTTGAACCAACTTGCTGCTTGATGTCTTTTATAGCTGTAATATTTTTGCTGCATTAATTTGATTCAACAATTCATCTTTTTTATTTGTTTAAATCAGGCTATTTTGCAATTGATTCTCAAGCCATTACAGGCTCAATTTTTGTCACAGATTATTTTATCAAAGTTTCTTGACGTCTGGCTGCTGTTAAAAGAGGGCAATTCTTAATAAGGCCATTAACAGAGACCAATGATAGTCAGGGGCGGATCCAGTGGGGTGCGAAGGGGGCTCGAGCACCCCTCAGATTTGAGAAAAAACTTTTTGGGGATTAAAGCTTATTCTACCGCAATTTTGTTTATTATTATTAAAACCATTTAAATAATACCGGGAAGTATGCACATCTCCTGAAATTGTTATTTCCGCTTCAATGCCCCGTCTCACAACTGTTCAACATTGTTATTTCAGTCCATGCATTGAAGTGTTATGAAACTCCCCCTGGTTGTCCTGTATAGCATTCTACAGACTCGGAAAGCATTGTCTCCTCTTATATCCAGCCACTTAAGGAACCCGTGGCCTGTAAATTATACGAGTTTCTGCACCCGTGGAAGTGAATCTAGCCAATCACGGTGCCAGGTCGAGGGGTTCTAAACTTTGGCGCGAGAACCCATGGATTTCAAAAATCCAAAACATCAAAGAATACCGACAAACCAGGGGGAGTTTCTTCGCTTCAATCTACAGTCAAATGTATAAGTGGTTTTATGACCAGGGGGAGTTGAGCTTGAACAGGGGAAGTTGAGGTTGACCAGGGGGAGTTGAATTATGATACAGCACGCGACGAATGCTTAGGCGCAAATTTGCAATATGTTTTCGTGGATCTTTTGACGATCTTTACCTGATGCTCGATGCTGTAACGGCAGAACTTGTAAACGCTGTGGTTTATATAACAGAACGGTTTCAAGTTTCAACTCCGTGTTTCATGTCTTATTCATAGACCATGAGGTATGATTTGTATTCAGAGGATAAAGCTTGCCCGAGCCCTTGTTATTCTTTTTTTAATCATTCAAGAACTACATAAAAAACATCTCAAAAACTTGCCCTTACTATTATTGACCAAAAGGGGTTTCCTTTTTATACCTACTTATATTCCTGCGAATCCTTTTTTCTCTAAGAATTTCAAATACATAAAAATACTCAAAACGCCAGGCCCATAGCGAAACGTTCAGGGCCTTCTTTGTTTGGTTTGAATGCTGTGTTTGAATCCCTGTGTTCAACTTTTGCACTGCACTTCAAGGGCTTCATTCCACCAGCCACGTTATTTTTTCGTCAAGCTGATCAAGTTCTAATAAATGGCTGCAAAGAGTCAAAAATTAAATTTTGCTTTGAAAATTTGTGGGCTCGGGCCTTTTGCCACTGCGGGCCATCATATCATCTTTGACTACAGTTTCTATACTTTTGTACCCTAAGTGAATATAAGAGGGGCGAGCTGCAAATTGCGTTCAATTGGCATAAAAGCTGATACCAAAAATTACTATATAAATCAAGGCATCCAGGCTTTTTAGTTTATGGAAGGCTTTCATTTCATTATGGCTTATTAGCAGGGGTACGGAGTTTGTGCATAGCAACACCCTGGGTTACCAAGCCTTACGTTTTAGAACCCCTCAGAATAATTTCTAGATCCGCCCCTGATAGTAAATTCAATTGTAATCAAACCTGTGAACATCAAATTGTATTGCTGATCATTGTGTTTTCAGGTATCGCAAGTGTATCTTTCTCTACAAGTAATGTTGTCCAAAATGGAAAATTCTTGATAAAACTGATGCTTGAAAACTACGAAAAAGTCATCAAAATACAAATTGGGTCAGGTATTGATTAGCCATCTTTTAAAGATTGTAAAATTAAGAATGACTGCTTTACACAAATGACAAACAAAATTGTGATATAAATACCTTATTTTTTTCAATAATTAAATTGTTTTCAAAAACTGAATTCAAAAACGTTATGACATCTATTTTTCTGGTGCAAAAGATGAAGAATTCCATTTATCTTAATAGTGGGGCGCTGCATGCAAGGTTTAAACTTGGAGGGTGGGGGGGATTGCAATGACATTTTAGAGGGAGAATAACCAAATACATCATCTTATTTTATTTTACAGGCAACTTGGATACGTCAAGTAATGCGGTAGCCAGTTCCTTGTTTGGATTCCAGGTAAAAATTTGATTTAATAATTAATCGCTTGCTTTTCATACATGTTTAATTGCGATAACACTTTTGTATTTGGTTGGTGAATAGGTTGATTGAAGGCGGTGAGTCACGTGACATCGGCATCCATTGTTGACAACTTGCCATTGAAGGAGCTGCTCACTGATCTGTGGAACTGCTTTGTAAATCAGTACGAGGCAAATTCATGTGATAAGTGTCATGCCCACAAAAAGCATTGCAGTTCGAAAATCATGACTCAGCGTTTAAAGCCTTAGCCTCTTCTTTTTATCACAATTCGATGCCTTTAATGTTTGCTTTTGTAACAAATGTGACGTTGGAAAAGTTTTTGAGTTTGTAACAAATGTGACATTGCATGGCATTTCTGCCAAGTGCAAAGGTTTAAAGAACGCGAACGTAATTCAAAATAACAATCCCAATAGATTTTTTTCACTCCTCGATTTGACAAAGATTTTGGTATAATCAAAGCACCCTTGATAATTATGGTATAGTCATTATGGCTTGGGAATGGTAGTCTGGCTTCTCGTTCCTCCCAGGGGAATCCTCTGTCTAATATTCCTTTGACTACGTGACGTCACGAAGCACTTCTAGTTATTCTGTCAAGGTAAGTGTGACATTGACATCCCATGTTTCCGTCTAATTATTGAAAAACATTTTGAATTCGGCTCTCAGTTACCTCAACCAGTAAATGCCTATGCATAGAATACATCCTCCGTCTTCAATCAATAAGTTGCAAGAGAGCTGGCATTCTCCAAAAATGAGAGCTTGGCTATTACACTAATTTAATCTTTTTGGGGGCATATATCTCTAGTTTCAGTAGTAGATAATAAAATGTAATTCATTTGTTTTGATTTTATGCTTGATATCTAGAAACTGCCTCAAAAAGAATTGCGCGTGCCTGATGAAACATTTTACTCACGCTCTGGGATGAAAATAAATATCATGATGCAGGAAGGTCCTTTTGAGGTAAATTATTTTTATGAATTATGGGCTACCGTTTTGCAATAAACTTCGCTCTAAGTAGCAACTAGTGCTGCCAGTAAATGTGCAGGCAAAGCAATTCAGTATTTCTTCTTCTTCTTCCGTTTTCAGCTTACGCCGAGTCGGGCACCGTCTTAAGCCTCTTTCAACTGGTGCTTGCCATGTCATTCGTTGCTGTCCAGCTCTTCTTTAACCTCTTCGTGCTCTCCGTTCCATTGTTGGCTAAGCGATTCTATTGCTGTTCATCCTGGCTACATGACCTAACCACCGGAGCCTCGTTTTTCTCACTTCTACACTAAGTGCTTCTTGGTGTGATCTTATATCTTGGTTTCGTGCATGCTGCTGCCATCTAACTCTCGAGATTCTTTCTGGTCAAAACACCTATTTTTTCTCTTGCCTCTCAGTTAACTGCTAAGTTTCTGAGCCGTACAAGAACACGGGTAGAACACAGGCGTTACAAATTCTAATCTACACCGTTAACCTGATGCTTTGATTTCGCCACACTTTTGCGATTTACGAGAAAGCAAATGATGCAAGAGCAGTTCTCCTTTTCAGTTTGACGTCCACATTTCCTGATCCATTAATAGAGCTTCCTATGTAGATGATACGTTCAGTATTAAGTGCTACAATAGTCAATCAGTTGTTATTCGAGACTTTTGTCCAATTCTAAATGATATCTGAATTCATTGCAAAAAATGTTTGTGACAGCACTGTTTTTTTGCTACGAAAAACAGGATGTTGGGTTTCAATGCATTGTAAAATTCCGTCCTCTTTACCCTATAAATCAGGATACCAGCGCATGAGCGTGCTGTTAGCCGAAATTCAGGCGATTATTGATTTTGGAGTAACAGTTGCG